GGATGGGGGATTGGGTGGAGAGGCATGAGGGGGTCTTGTGGGCTTTTATAGACAAAGTAGTATGCGTACAACAGTGTTCTTCGTTCAACTATCACATGCAAGTTCGCTTCACTACCACCTCAAACATAACACTCGGTACCACGAGAAGATAGAGGAGACGAACCATTGGCAGCTTCCTTACTCTAAAGAACAATGTACTAATGTAGAACAAGCTGCAAGTAGAGCCGCATTAATTGCAACAAAAAGCAGCTCAAGATGTTGCATCGTCCTCCATGACGAGCTCGGCCATCCGGAACTCGCCTGTGCCCCCGACGATGCCCCGCTCTCTCGGCACCACCCTGCCGGAGATGGCGATGAAAACGAAGTTTACCGCCGACAGGTAGGCCGGCCTCTCCAAGGACGCCTTCATAGTCATAATAGATACCGTTTTGTAGAGGCGCCGATAACACCGTTAGTAATATATGGTTGCAAAACATAAAGTTGCCTTAGGATTAATCACCACAAAAAAGAACGCCGTTGCCGGGGATCGAACCCGGGTCACCCGCGTGACAGGCGGGAATACTCACCACTATACTACAACGACTTAGTTGGTTAGCTTGCATCAAATATAATATATATATACATATATGTTATTTTGGAATTTTATTACTGATTTAGGTCTTTATTGGCTCTCCTGATTGTGAATTACCTATAGAAATTTCTCCCTTGATGCACATAATAATATCATATTTCTAAACTATAAGAAAATTATGAAATGTTTAGGGAATGACATTTTACTTAGTAATCGAAACCACATATGTTCCAAAATTTTTCTAAGCATATATTGGAAGAAAAAAGGATCATATATTATATTGTAACATGGCAGAGGGTGAACATCTTGCTCTATCAGTGCTACCATGGAATATTAATATCTTTAAATCAACAAATTAATAATATGGCCAATTGTGCCGGTTGGTTAAGGTGTGTCTGTTGTCTAGTGTAGAAAATCACTAAGACTTAGATTAGAGATTGCATTGGATCACATTTTGAGTTAGCATAGCACTCTTAATTAGAGTAGTATTGGATCAGATTTTAGTGAGAGCTCAAACGGATCGGTCTAATTCAAAGAGTAAAGGGATTGATCCAATACTTTGATATCCTCTTTTTATAAGCCTATGCGCGGTTCATATTATTGTCGCATAGCACGCTTTGATGACTTCATGTTAGCTAGACTTAACTATATTTCATGTGTTGGGTTTTGATTAATCATTAATTTTAATCTTATTATATCATTTGAATTTTACATTTGATGATGTCATGCGTATCGTCGACCGGTGAGTCGATACAGTTGGTTCACTGTCGAAGATGCAAGCTCATCTAGATATTTTTTTCTAACTAACGTGAGAGACCTGGTGAGGTGAAACCGTCTCGGTCTCTACCTGATGTGGGAGATTTGGTGAGGTGAGATCGCATGGGCGATCTAGTCGAAAGCGGTCTTATCGATAGGAACCCGGTTCGAGATAATCAGGTAAGTGGTATAGGATCTTCCTAGCTACAAAGTTCCTTCTCTGGGCCAAGTCATTCGAGTATCCTCGAGAGATGATGTCTCATGGTTGCGTCCTAACAACGAGCTCGCCTTTTGTTTGTCGGTGAACTTGCAGGTGAGGCCAGTGCCAAGGGTTGCCCAGCATGGTCCTTCCGTTGCTTAAGTCAACGAATGAGAGAATAAATAGTGAGAGCTATATAATTAGGTAAAGTGTAGGAGTTTCCGATGCTTAAGTCAGCGAATGAGAGAATAAAGTATAGGAGTTTCTCTTCCTCCCCCCTAAGTTAAGTTGATGAGTTTCTTTTTATACCTGATCCCTAGGCCTTCTTACTAATTGATTTGAGATAAGATTAGGTGAACCGCTTGATTATTCTTTGATCTTGATATATCGAGACGCAAAACAACATCATTTTAGGGTTAGTGACTTGAAGTCATGCTTGGATGTCAACATTAGTGTCAGCTAGCGTGAGGCAAAGTCATTCCTATCGGCATCGGATTAAATCTTTTATAGAATTACATCCCTATATTAACGTGATATAGTAAGTCCGATCAATCAAAACGATAACATTCTATTGTTGTAATCACTGCTATTTCTTTATTGTAGCAACAAAAGCAAACAAACCATTTGTGGCAGTATGAATTATCAGCAGTATCAAACACAGATGAAGCTTTCATGGCTCGAGGAACCATGAATTGACAAGCCACTTCTTTTATTCCATCAGAATAAGAGAAAGGCTGTTCTTTAAGATTTAATGACGGCATTGGTATTTAACGTCAAGCAAGAAGACTTCTGCTAGTACCAGAAGTCCCTGTTGTTGACTCCAAAAGTTCGGCGCCCACCATTGACCTCAAAAGAAACAAGAGAAGGGTAACACCAGTATTATAGTATTATATAGATGGAATGTGGACAATCTTGGTTTTATGTACAACTTTAGGGAGAATGAGAAGAACATAATAGGAGAAACGAAAAGTCAAATCATTCAAAATATGAAATAATTCTAACTTCTTCTTCTATGAAGTATAATTTTTTTTTATCTTATTACTATACCACCAAAATATGTATTTAATATTTTTATCATCAAGTTTACTCCATTTTTTCATAGGAATATAAAAATAAGCAATACAACCAAATACCTTTAAAAGACTTATATCTTGTTTTCTATTCAACCATGTTTCATAACATATTTTTCCTTATACTGTCTTGCTAGAAAAATAATTTGCTTTTTCTTTAAGCAAATGTATGAGAATTTTGATCACTTCTCAGTTCCCAATAAATACTTGCATTCATGTAAAAAATAAAAAAAAATCTTTAGAAATAAATTTAACACCTCTATTAGTATGTAGAGTTTTTAATAAAACAACCACTTTACTTTTTTATATATGTTTTAAATTTTTAAAAACAAAGAAGGCTTCAATTTTTTCTTTTAGAAAATATACCTACATCATCCTTGTGCAATCATCTATAAATAATAAAAAATATTTAGTCAATTATCATATTCTTCTAATTTAATAATTCTAGTCCATCTTAATTCAAATGACCATATCTTTTATGTTATAATATCAATTTATCAATAGTAGCAGCAGTGAATGCAGAAATCTAAAAATAATAAGGGAAACATTTTATTTTTTATAATCCTCATAATTGCTATTAATTTTTAAATTTTTATTATAAATTAAATATTTTTATCATAAAAATAGCATAATACATTTTTCCTATCAATGACTCTATATTAATGAGATTTTATTTTTAGATCAAGAATAAATATTACATCATAAATAATTTTTTTATCAATTTTGGTGTTAACAAAAAATATTCCTTTTCCTTCCACCTAAACATTGCTTCAATTTCTTGAAGATCTAATTGAATTATCAAGTTTTTTAAATAAGCTTTTATCCATTGTGATTAATTCATCGACAAATGATATACTTGTATCTTTAGATTCTTCTATAGCAATAAAAATCATATCAAATATTAGAGATAAACTCAATAAAACCTTTTTTTTACTATTAATTGATCTTTTAGGTTTGTATCATAAGATCTTATTTAGTTCATAATAGAAAAACTTTTAAGAAAAAACAAGTGATGAATTTAGAATCTTTCATCATTAGAGTTTTGAATTTATATTGAAGAATTTGAATCTTTAAAGTTTTTACCTCCAAACATACATCTTAATATTTTAATTTTTTTATTAAAATTGATGCTAACATGATTTGAGAAAATAGGGACTCATCTATGGCTTGTTGTAGTTTATAGAGAGCTCATATATTTTTCTGCATATTTTTATTCATATGATTTTTTTAATTTTTAGTAATATTAGGATCCTACATATCATACTCAACAAAATCATTTTGTATCCAATTTCATAATAATTATAAAACAAATAGAGACATCATTTTAACAATTCAAAATTGATAATTTTCACTTTTGAAGATAAGAAGAAGCTGATTAGAAATACTTACTCCAATATCAAGCATTTTTTAAATTGATTTACTGGTTTTTTTAATCGATGTACTTTTATTGGTCTTCTTTGCTATGATATCACACTTACTGGTTTTGTAAAGAACTTCAGAAAGAAAAATAATAATGATAATAATAAAAGAAATGAGTAGTATTTTCAATTGTTTTGGATTCATCCCAAAATAAGTATTTATATTAGTCAAAAAATAAAATATATATTTTTAAATAATAAAAAATGCATCATAATCCAACAAATCTCATTACCCTTATCTATTTATCTTAATCTAAATCCTTATCTTTTATTTTATCTAATTTTAATTATTTAAAGAACAGATTGGTAAAACCTTTGATGAATTATTGACATTTAAGTGGATTAGTAACCTCTAAGACTAAACAATGATCTAAGGCCAAGAAGACCGTAGACCATATGACCTTGCCTAGTAGCGCAGAAGGCGATAATAATTTTCTATCAGTGCTACCATCTGTTCTTCCTCCATACGACGATGACGACGAGCACTGAGGTTTGGAAGACTTGGAAGTCATGGCTGGTGGAAGTTGATAGATGGTGACGGCAGCTGCTATCATGAGACGATATACATATATATAATTTCCAAGATGGATTGGAAAGTTAAAAGGAGTTCAACTTTTAGTCCACAACTAGTGCGCCGCTTCTAGAGGATTAGATGTTCCTCCCACTCCGGCCTGGTGAAGAAAATATCCCAAGTGTTGGAGGAATCCGAGGAGGCAATGGTGGTTTCTTTAAGGTCAAGCAGTGGGGTCAAAGTTTTATGGCAGATTGGACGTCTTGACCTGTTGCATTCCAAGTGCTGGACTTGGACCCAGTAAAAGTGATGGAAGGGATGTTTCCTGGTTCCTCTCCGGTGGTCGAGAATTCTTGTCGCACTTCATTTTTCTCCCTCTTCTTCTTCTCCGAGGAACCTGTGCGTTTCCTCTAGAAAACACTCTCCTTGTAATGAGCAAGTTTAAAGGCAAAATGTAAGGAAAGCAATGCCACCATAAAGTTTCAGTGATGCTTTGAATTACTTCTTAAAATTGGTTTTATTAAATAGCTTAATGGCGATTATTTTTATTGATTGATTTATAAGAAGAAAGATTGTCGAATTATTTCTTCCTTTCAATAACAAAAACCAATCCATGCATTATAACAGCGAAAACCTCGTTTTCTTCGATTAACAAAACTCATCGGTGCTGTTTGGCAAGCAACACACCCTTGTCATTAATGGAGGAACAATCCATAGTACGACACATCCGTACCTGACAACCGGCTGGGTTTAAACGCTGGAACTGCTTTATGGACCTTCATCCCTGTCACTTTGAGTTGGAACGAGTCAAGTCCATAAAGCGGTAAACGAACAATGACTGCTCTTTCTGACTGGCTTCGTATTTTTGTTTGAGTGCGGGGGTTCCCAATCGGAATTGGTGTCTTTCCATCCATTTCCTCGGACTTCACCGTGGCTTTTGGAGGTGCCTATATAAGCACTTCATGAACCTTCCGTTCCTCCTCAAGCGACACAAATCCGGCACCGGGTACTGGCTAAATGGACAGAAAAGGATCGGAGCTTGATCTACCAGGTTTCAGGTTTCATCCGACCGAGGTGGAGCTGTTGGATTTCTACCTCAGAAGTGAAGTGCAAGGGAAGAAACTTAACTTCGATATCATCGGCAGACTCAACATCTACCACTATGATCCATGGGAGCTCCCAGGTGCGTAAAACTCTCACCGTTTGCTTCGTCTGCAAGATGATTGTGCTGATAGATTTTTGCTGAGTAGACTTTGATTTGTGCTTGTGGTCAGGTCTGGCGAAGATAGGGGAGAGGGAGTGGTACTTCTTCGTGCCCAGGGACCGGAGGATCGGCAGCGGTGGACGGCCCAACCGGACGACAGAGCGGGGATTCTGGAAGGCGACGGGTTCGGACCGGCCGATACGGAGCGTGGCGGACCCGAAGCGGCTCATCGGGTTGAAGAAGACGCTGGTGTTCTACCGGGGCCGGGCGCCTCGGGGTACCAAGACCGACTGGGTCATGAATGAGTACCGCCTGCCGGAGAGTTTCTCATCTACTTCCACCGCCGCTTCTGCCAAGGTAAGCACCACCGCGGTGCGTGTCCACACTGCATCATCATATACTTGCAATTCTAGTTTGGTGATTGTCTCGATCGTGACCATCATTCCAAATAGACTGCTCGAGAACGTAGTTCCAGTGACTCACCTGTGCCGGTGTGTCGTGCAGGAAGACCTGGTGCTATGCAAGATCTACAGGAAAGCAACGTCATTGAAGGAGTTGGAGCAAAGAGCAGCCTCAGAAGAAGAGACGACGAGGGAGTCCCAGATTTGCCGGTCCGTCGCCGACACCACGTCCATCTCCAACCAAGACAACTACCGGAGCCCCTCCTTCCCTTCCGAGTACACAGATGCCAAGGAGGCGGAGCCGGCGAAGGATGCAGAGGTCACTTCGACGACATTTCGATCGGTGAACCTGCCGGAGCTGCAGGTTCCCATGTACAGCTTCGACTGGTTGCAGGACCCGCTCCTGGCGCAGCTGCGCAGCCCATGGGTGGATCAATGGTCTCCTTTTGCCAACACTCTCTACTTCTAAAGTGTTACTGCAAACCTGCATCACAAACATAATGAGAGATTGGAGAGTGTTGTTTTTTTCTCTCATTTTGTGCAGTTGGTGTTAGTGTTGGAGTAAGTGTGAATTGTTGGCTTCAGTATAGAGAATACGAACTGCTGGTATTGCTTTCTCCTATTGAGTTTGGAAGATAGCCTTTCCTGCTTTATTTGCTTCGTAAAGCATCATTTCGAGTTAATACCACTCAGCGAAACGGAGTTCAAAATCCTCGCATATGGATCGGATTGGACTGTGATTGAGCCACGCCCGTTATGTGGACCCGTTATCTTCTATTTGTGATGGATCCCCTCCAACCCATGTGTAGACGTAGGATTCCTATTCTCCCATCTCAACAACCCCTTGGTCTGGTCGTCACACATCATCCGTCCATTTATTACCACGCTTACCTCGATGGACGGACCATATGTCAAGACGGGACACATGGGCGGTTCAGATGTGAGAATTGGAGAGGATCCCATCCCTCTCCCTTCCTCCAAAACCCAAATCAAGCCGAGGAAACCCTCCCCATTCCCATGTTCCTACGATGGCGACGAACGAAGAAGAGATGGAAGAGGCGAGGCGAACCCTAAGTCTAGTGGCTGGCTCGCTTCCTCCTCCTCACGCCGTTCTCGACCTCCTCTCCGTTGGGGTCCGTCGTTCTATGTCCTATTGTTTGAATTGGTCCTCACGGCTGCTTTCTTCTTTTTCCATGCTAATTATGTTCTTTTGGAAGCCGGTTTCTTAGAGACGAACGTCTTCCTAATATATAATCAGTCTTCTAAGCTTGTTTCCTGATAACGTTGAGATGCAACAATTTTGGTTTTGTGATTTGAATCGTAGTTGCTTCATATTTTTCACATTCTCATACTTCTAAACGTTTCTATTTTTTCATGCTTTAGTTTTCCTTTTTAGCATGTAATATTGCTTCTCAAAAGGGACAAACGAGTCGTAGCGCTTACATTATGATTTGCGTGGTAATAGTCTTGAAAAATATGAAACTGGAAGTAGTGGTTAATATTGCTGATGTCGTATTGTCTAGGTATGTGTTCGCTGCATCTTTCGATATGAAACTGGTTGAAGTAGTGGTTAATATTGCTGATGTCGTATTGTCTAGGTATGCGTTCGCTGCATCTTTCGGTTGTTTGGGGTTCATGGGCGTGCTTACTCTTGCCCATTGATTACAAATGCAATCTTGCAATCATTCCTTGAGGAACAAGATAAGTTCCACGGGGATAATGAAGAAAATGGGGTCGCATCCGATGGAATTATCCGATGTGCATATACTTCAAGAGATACAGAAAATGTCCGAGAATACTGTAGCATATGTTTAGGCATACTACAACTTTCATTACACCAAGATCGAGAACCCACAAAAAGAGTTCCTGTTGATGATTTTACAGCTGCCATTGCTGAACTTGTGAAGCAAGAGGACTATGACATTGATGGCTTTTCTTTTGAAGTCTCAATACCTCCTGTGGTAGTGGCTAATGAACGAGCTATCAGGTAACTTTCTTTTCTTGATGATCTTCACCTAATACAACTAGTATACTTCAACTCTTAATTGTTTGTCACACTCTACTAGTGTTGAATTTGTAATTTTGAACAGTTAATTCCAAATATATTGTAAAGTCCTACCAATAATGATGATTGGCTTTAACCTGCAATAGTAAAATTAACATGACATATAAGTGTAAAAACAAACATGATGATATCAGCTATTGTATTTTGTATTATTAAGTGATCATCTTATTAAATTTATCACTTTTGTGAGACAGAATATCCTGAAAATTTTAAGCCCTTGGGCAACTTCAGTGCACTGGTGGAGTGCTTTTAGGTGTCATATGAAGTAATTTGATGACTTGGGTGGAAAATATGGTGGCTAACTTATATTAATTCCAGTAATATGCTATGATAACAAAAGTGTAATCTTTATGAGATTATGAAGCAGAAGACTTAGTTGTTGTAAGTTGTCATACATGCCTTAACTTGAAAGGCAAATTATTTTCTTTTAAAAAGTAATCATTTAATTTGAGATGGTGAAAGTTTTATTTTATGAATTTTTTTGTCATATGATTGATAATAGGTAATAAAATTAAAAGGAATTAGAATTATAAAAATTTCAAAGAAATATAAATGTTTAGTTGTGATGGTTGCTATGAGTCTGTATGGTCACAATACTGGACTGGTATTTGAAAATCAAAACTGTGGCTGGAGCAACATTGTTGTCATCTTATGTAGTTGACATAACTGTGGTACTTCAACTAGATCTTGCTGGTCATTGTTCTATCATTTCCAAGTAATGTTTTGCCTACGGTGTATTGGAAGCTTACGCCAGTTGAATGTCATATTATGTATTTTTTTCCTATGTGCTTTTGGGCAAATAGTTTTAGTGGCTCTTTGGTGTCAAACTTTTTTATTTGATTTTTTTAGTTAAATTTTTGGTTACATTTTCAGTAAATGCTACACTGTATTTTGTTCCTGTTCCTATGGTGTTTCCATGTGCTTTATAGGTTGTATATGAAAAACAAATATGAATGTGAAGAATGGTTCTCAACAAAGTTCCTTTGTGAGCGCATTTCTGTAAAGGATGCTTTGAGATCTTCAATAACTGCATCACTTGAAAAACATTTGGTACTTTGAACCCTTTTTACATTGTCCCTTGTCTTCATTATGTTTCTGGGAATTCACTGATAATTTCATCTAGCTTAATGTAGTGGTTTTTTTAAATATTATTTAGAATTATATTTTCAGGATGTCATATCTGGTGTCGACTCATTTCATATTCGTCTTACATATTCACATCTTGAGGCTTCAAGAAGTCTTCAGAGTTCCTTGGCAAATGATCTTCCCTGCAAGAGAGCAAAGACAGGTTTATCGTATTTGTCTTTGGTCCAAGAAGCTTACCTGCTTTCCTATAAGTTTCTTATTAGAAGCTACAGTTACCGTATAAAAAGCAATGTTTCCTTCCCTGTTCCATGTACTTTTGAGTGTAGATTTAATAATATTCGAAAAGAATTTGATACTTGAATGCATATGGCCAATGCCTTATCTAATTTAACATCAAGAACATGTTATGGCAACTAATTTTACAAGTACAAAAACTCATCCTTTCAGCTCTGTGGATTATCAATTAGGATTTTGTTCATTAAGCTGTTGGAATTTTCCAATATAACTGATAGCAATAGCATTGTTATGGAACCAAAGGATCTATTGGTGGTTACTCTATTCCAATCTAGAATTTTTAGGTGGTTAGTTGTTTATCATGGTGGTAGTGAAGATATCATCTGATGAAACCAAACAATATGTTGCCATGGTTCACTTGCAAACCTTCTTCGGTGATTTGTCATGTACTTGATTGTTTATAATGCAGATGATGAATTTTTTCGAGAAGTAATTCATAATTAATGTGATTTATATTTTTAACATAGTATCTCGCTCTTTGAAATTTTTTTCTCATATATGTAAGATTTCATTTTCTTTCCGAACACCATTCCATTCATTTTGGAGTGTCGGGATGGTTCTGGTGAGATTTCATTGTTATCCTTCTGAAACTTGGTTTAACCACTGCTAGATTTGATCTCCATCCCAGCAATGCAACCTATATAGTAAAAAACTCTTATGGATATTCGGAATAATATCTTCTTGATCGTTTAATCACTTTTGTCTGATTCTTGCCGATACTTTCTACAGGATCAAAGGATAATGTGGTTAAAGCTGATGGTTCACACGAGAAACCTTTAAGAGATTCTGACGAACAATCCTGCAGTGAATCGGATGCTGCCGTTTTGCGAGCACTAGATGGTATGCAGGATCATGTCTTTTGTGAGCGTTTTAAATTGCCTCCAGAGAAGGTAACTCTTTTTGCCCCTCAAAATTTTTCTTTCATAAAGGGTTTCATATTCTTCCACTCTCATTAGAATTTTGTATTTTCAGACTTCAAAATCATGCCATCTGATAACTACTTGCTACAGGGTGCCAATGTATGTTGGTGGTCGGTACCTGAAGGTATGTCACTATTTTCAATCACGAATTTGCTGTGCTTTGAGACAGTTAGATGCTTCACCAAAGTGATTAAATCATCAACAGAACTTGGCCATCAATTTTGATTGTTTTGGTCAAAGGCATATAACTGCAACTTAAAACAGTTAAAATATATGAAATTCTGATCAAACCAGTGCTGATGTATTGGTTTAAAGTATATTAATCAGTACCAGCCAGTTCGTTACCCAGTCCACACTTGGATGAGTACAAACTGTGCGTGCTGATTGGTATACCATGGTATTTTGAATTATTGTTGACACAACATGTGTAATCTGAAGGTATTGACATTGGCATGGTCTTTTCAACTCCACCAGGAATATGGTATTCAAACTCAAGTAGATTGCCTTTGATTCAACTTACCCATTATAGAAGGAATTCTTGAAGAGATGCTTTGTCACATGTATGACAGTTTCATGTTTATGATTGTTCAGGAATGGATAGAGATGCTTTGTATTGGTAGTGCCTTATTTCACTTTAGCACACCTTCTGTATATGGCTTTTTTTGCTGATGTACATATAATATAACTTAAACTTTGAATATGAAAATGACCTACCTCAACTGATGTTTGTTTTTCCCATTTTGTCTTATAAATTCATGATTCTATAACCTTATTCTTCCGTACTTACTTGTTTTGGTGTAGACTTTGCATGCGCTTTTGTGTAGATTAGTTCAAATCTTTCCTTGTAAGAAATGATTTACATAATAAGACATCTTGGAAGAGAGTCCGGCATTTACAATAATGTATGTTTTATCTTTATACAGATCTCAAGGAAGGTGAGCCAGACACGCTGGGTAATTGATGATGAAAGAATGGGTGAAGCATCTGTTGAGGTATGCCACTGAACTGAATGTCTGTTTAATTTTTTTCTGTTTATATCTTTTTCTGCACTGAGTTGGTGATTCTCCTGCATCTTTTAGGAGATAATTGGGAAGAATGTTCTTTCCGTATGCAGAGGTGACAGCTATAAGTTTCATGCCGCTGGAAGAGAAGATATTGATGTAATATGCTGTTTTTCCTTCAGAGGATAATGCAAGTTATTTTTAGGTTTTATATGCTAGTTGTCTAGATTAACTGAAGAGACTTTTGCTCAGGTACGAATGTTAGGATCTGGACGCCCTTTTCTAATTGAAATATCAAATGCACGATGTATTCCATCCAAGGTCGACATCGAGCTGATTGCTGAAAAACTAAACAGAAACGATCAGAAATATGTGAGTTTTCTTTTGTATGTTAAAATAGTACTGCTTTTAGTGCCCTGTTTTATTATGTTGGTACAACTGAATGCTACTTTAGTTCATTGATTCTTTTTTCTTAAACTCATCTCTGCAGGTTAGGGTGAGAAATCTTACTTTGATTGGCAGCAAGGCATGGACTCTGATGCGTGAAGGAGAGGCAGAGAAACAGGTTATTTTCCGATGTTCAATTGCAGTTCATCCAAAATTGGATGCATAAAATTGTGTCAACTTCAGCTATGTTGGATGAGAAATGGCGCTGCATTTGATATTGTAGATAACATATGTTTTACTTCTTTCCTTTTCATACAGAAACAATATGCTGCTCTAGTCTGGTTTCCTCGTCCACTGACAGATGATGACTTGCAGAAAATATCATCTTTAGAGAACATGGTAAGATGCTTTTCACTTTGATATCCAGTATGTTGGTGTCAAGCAATATTCTGTTTCAGATATTCCTCCTGTGCAACATCTAGTAAACTGGTGGTAGTTATGCCACATGTGCTTAGTGAAGCATTTGAAATATCCAAATCAAATAGCTTAAAGTTTTCTAGAAATAACATGTTGGAACTTCGCATGGTAGTTCTGCCAATGGTTTCTTCCCTACCCATTTCTTTGTTTAGTTGATCAACTCTTGTTGTCTGCTATAATAGTTTCATGATACATCATGTATGAGTAGTGACTTGTTTAATTAATTCTGTTGCTTTATCTATAGGACATAGTACAAAGAACCCCAATTAGGGTACTTCATAGGCGAAGTCAATTGGAGCGCAAGCGTACTATACATTGGTATGAGAAATTACAAACGCCTATGCAGTATTTTTATGTTTTCTCAATTTGCTGGTGAGAAGGCACTATATTGTCCAGCTAATACTGGGAGAAGATTTGGTCGTTCAATTTATAGTATATGTATTTGTACTATTAGGAATTTATTTCAACTTTCCATCTGAATACTCACTGAATGATTGTTCTACCAGGATGATGATTGAGAGAATTTCTGGTTGTTCCCAGTATTTTCTTTTGCATCTCTGTACCCAGGTACTAAGTAAATGTTTAAAATGTTGTCTTACTCTTGCTAGTTGTTGCTTTTAACCTATATGTACAATATCTGGAATTTTTATAATTTTTTAAAAGAACTTGAAGCACAAAAAATTATCCATCATACATCTCGGTACATTTCAGTAAGTCCTTTAGACAAATAGATGATCCGTGCTCTATGACCATTCTTAAAGTGCTTTTGAGCGATTCTGCCTATCATATTCATCAGACTATCAGACTCAAATTACTGCAAAAGATTTATTGAGACAAGCAGATAATCTTCCAAGGAAAGAATATTCAATGGAGAAGTAAAAAAAAGCTGGGAGGATGAAGGAGAATTATCACATTTTGCTGGGGACTGTAGCTGAGTATGCTCATTTAACCAGGATAACTATTGATTCTGTTAAATTAATATGGTACTTTATTTTGTTGGATATTATAGCTTTGTATAAAGTTTAGCTTTTATATGGAAATAGTTCAAGAAACCATCACCTACTAATGCAATACCCTTTGATAGAAATTCTAGTGTTTCTGGAATACCCTTTTATCATACAGGATTCCTCTGCTCTTCCTATTCATATTCTACTTTGAGAGCTAATTAACCAGATATTGCCATGTTCTCGGTCGTTAGTTATGGACAGGATGCAGTCATGCCTTTAGTGGACCTCAGATTTCCATGTTCGCCTAACTTAGAAGTCTCTCTTTGGTAAATGTTTAGGATACCAGCACTTTTTAAGTATCTTCTATTGACCATCATGGATCAAGGTGGAATGTTAGTTTTCTGTATTATATCATTGGTTAAGATTTTCATTGATGGGCATTATCCTGTTTCTTGGTTTAGATAGCTTTTCTTTTTTTCTTTATGCTTACCAAAACGAGCAAGGTAGATGTCAAATAGGCATGCACAACAGCGTGTCATTCATCCCATTTTTCAACAAACAATAAAAAGAAACACATGGGACTTCTGGAAGTTGCTACTGTCAAGGAAGATTTGGCAATGTTCTCTCCTACATGCTTCTCTTACAAGATTACATGGGGTTTCTCATTTTTTTTAATGCTTCTTGAGTAAAATGTGATGGCAGGATGCCGCTACTGAATGATCCTCCCTGTCAAATAGTTACCTATTGTGAGTCATGAAAGGACCTATTTCTATTGGTGGTTGTTAAATTGCAATTTGATATCAGATTTACCTATTCTATGAAGACTTGGAAGAAGATAAAATTGTAACTCTCTATATCATGATATTTGACTACCAATTTTTCAGTCTGAATTTTGATATTTTTCACTCGAGTTCAGGCAGGAACATATATAAAGGAATTTGTTCATGGAGATCTTGGACGAACACATCCTAGGTAAGAAACATTTTTTCATCTTGAACTCTTTTAGTCCTATAGTATAAGTAATTGTTGGAACATTGTTATGCATATAACATTCGATCTCTGGACCTCAGTTCATTTGCTTTAAGCTCTTAAACTTGAATAACATTTCTGGATAATTTTTTGTTCGAACAGAACCTGCATGATGAAAAACAGATTGTTGCCCAATCATCAAGTTCATGTTTCCCAATCTAGCGTCTCCTGATGATAAATCAGGCACAATTTAGGTTTCTTTTGGGGTTTGCAGTATTTTGTTTACTATCATTATTATTTTTATAAAATATAAGTTGCTGATCTTGATATTTATAATACATCTTTTTTGCCTAATCTCTGTTGTGCCTTCCTCAATTTTTCCATTTTTGGTGACTGCAAAAATTGCAAGCAGTTTTCTTCTGCAACCTCGAGTGATTTTACATAGAAAACATGGGTTCCAAAAGATAGCATGGTTTGATAGAATCCTTAAGTGTACACCGTTTGAATGGATTTAGCTTATTCTATTTTGAAGGCTGTCCAACATTCATTTTTCCAACATCAGTATCAAATTAGTTAAGTTTGAGCTTCTTTTACCATCCTGGTTGCGTTTCTCAGTTCTCATTTTGGCTTTAAATTGTGGCTTCTGATAACTTATAATAGGCTTCAAACTGAGCCAGATTACAGAATGATATGCGATGAACAATGTATAATGATTTAATTAGACTAGTGTTTCAGCCTCATCTCCAGAACACTTTCATCCACCGAGGCATGCTAGTTAAATGCTTTTACAGTTTTCATTTACGAACCTATCTGTATCAATACGAATTGAATATGCTGGATGTATTACGATGTATTACTTGCATTACTTGTCTGCTGAAAATATGCATCGTACAATTTTGTGGGTGCCTGAAGGATACCTCTTAGATGCATAAAGATCTACATTGATACTGGATTCTCAAACTTCAAGCAATCTTGTTTTTAGTTTTGGGTTCTCTAATTGGCACTTGTTTCTATTATTAGTGAATTTATTGGTTTGATGTAATAACATTTTATCATGATGTTATGTCAGCATTGGTTCCATCCTGGGATGCAGAGCGGAGATATTGCAGTTAGATGTCGTAGATGTGAAGATGGACTTGTTTGCTTGAAGGACCAAGATATGTTACTAAAGCTTGATAATTCAACATGCTTTTATCACTTGATCAAGTAGCATTTTGAGGTGTGCACCGATGTGCCTACACATGAAGCGCAACTCCGTTCACCGAAAGCCACAAGAGCAACTGCCTTTGGTAGAGAGAACGAAAAGTTTAATTATTTCAAATTAGTTCGGTACCGGATTGTAACATTTCTAATTTGTGCCCTAACAGATGAAGTGTCTATTCATCCTTTGTGAAGTGTACAAAGCTTCATTTCTGACAAATTTGCTTTGCTACTGATGCAGTTCCAGTTTTGGAATTTAAATAGTTATTTGATACAGTTTGCTCGCTGTCTGATAAATGTATGAATGTTCATATAATTATAAGTAGTGTTTTACATCTCGTATCATAGTTGGCAGGTTGAAGTTGATGATATCTGAGGTGGTAAATGGTGCTTCCATGCACTTGATTAAGTATGTAAATAGGGATGTTGATTCGGACAAGAGTTCTCCAACCCTAATCAATTTTAACATTATTCATTTAATTTGTGATCTTAAAATGGCCGTTTGGGTCTTCTCATAAGAGTAATCTTATTTACATTTTTATTTTTTGACATTTTAATTAAGCTCATTTCTGTGTTTTTTTTGACATTTTAATTTTGAAGTAGTCGAATGATGCATTTAATTTTGGAGTAATCGAAATCTACTTTGGGTGTTTCCGTTTATTCATATGAGAAAAACAATTCTTTCTCACATTCTGTGAATAAAGATTCAAAAATTGTTTTGATTATATTTATCTCTTCATTCCTTTGAAGAAAAAAATGATCCTAAAAACTCAATATTTTTTTATTAATTAAATCTTTGTCTGATCAGAGATCTTTTGAGTCCTCATTTTTAATGAAATCGAAATGATATTTTGAATCCTATGATTGGTTAAGAATTCTTTGAACGAAAATATATCTTGTGGAATGATATTGAAGAATCTCTTACTTAAAATACATTTGATAATACATTTTATATTTTTGCTAAAAAGTTGATCCTTGTTTATCGATCACATATTATCTAATCAAATGGTATCATTTCTCCAAAATCTGATTCATGATTTATATTCATTCTTCTCCCAATTAATAAAATTGAGTATAATTTTATAAAGAAATATCCTATTTAATTTTTAAGATGAAAAACATGCTCAATATCAATTTTTCCACCGGAATCAACCAATAATAAATCAAGTAGAATTAAAATTGTGAAGTCTTTTCACATTAGAAAAATAATTATTTCTTCGGTGGGCATTTATGTATTTTGGAGCATCAGAAATCCATTCTATTACGTCATTATCGTGTGTAAAGCGTTTGGTATTCGATTAATTATAGATTATTCTTACCTTTAGTATCATAATTATTATAATTTCATATATTTATATTGATGAAAGTAAAACATTTAATCTCGTTTTTTCTAATATCATCGACTCTGTTATTATTATTGAAAATATCATAGAATTTATTACTGAGTACAAGATAATAATTTTATCTCATTTCGATTTATCATTAAACACGTGATATTTTTGTTGATAGAACAGAAGAAAAGAGATTAAATATTTTATTTTTATAAAAAAATTAGAACCGATATAGTAAAGATGGATAATTAAAGGAACCTTTGTATCTGTGGTGGGCAATTCTGTCTTTTCAGTTATACAAAAAATAATATATCTACGGTGGCGTTTCTGTCTTTTCGTGCGGAAAAGCGTTGAGGAAGGAGATCTCAGTTTCGGGGGACTTCCGAATTGGTGAGAGGACCTTCGGATCGAAATCCCTAGTTAATATACCCTCGGCCGCCGCCGCCGCTGCTGTCGCCGTAGCCTTTGCCGAGGGCCGCGTCCCCTTGTCTCCCGTGCCGTTCCATCGCAGCCGCGCCTCGATTTCTCCGTTTCCCCATCAATCCTGTCACCCTGTTTCCACGAAGTCGGTCCGCATCTCCTCCTCCTCTATCTTCCTCTGATTGTGCATTTCATTTCTTGAACTCTTGAATTCGTGATTTCTTTTAAATACGTGTGCTTAGTCTCTTGATTCTACTGTACTGGAGATGATTGGAATTGGATGTGACGAGACAATGTGAGATTTGTTTTAACACTCTTTTCTACATCTAGTTATATATAATCTTAATCTTGAATGATTGTGATCAGGAAAGCGTCTCAATCAATTCCTATTCTTGCATGGAGATGGAGTTGCACGTGAACTGTGGCAATCTCTTATTCATATATTTTAGGAATTTTTTATGATTATCCCTTTTTACGATTGCTCCTTCGGTGCATGTTTACTAGTTTAGGTTCTTGCTAGAATTAGAGACCGAGGCATTTTAATGATTTGATTGGATTCCAAACATGTTGTTTTAGATGTTCTCGCTATTTCCCAGTGCCGAAGTCATGGTGTTTTAGGTGTTGAAACTTGCGAGTTTGATATATGCCTCTTTGTTATCATTTTTATTTGTTGGCATCAAAAATCTGTAAAGTTGACCTGTCTCGGTTTTCTTATCCATATTCTTTTACCAGAAACCAAAATTCGCCATTAGAAGATAATGGCAAAGTTGGAGGAGATAGAGACAGAGGAGCACGGGGAGACAACAATGTCAATCAAGATGAGGAGGAAGAAAAAGAAATACAGCATTATAATCCCAACATACAATGAGCGTCTTAACATTGCCCTCGTTATCTACCTTGTCTTCAAGCATCTCCAGTAAGCCCTTATATCTTTGTAAAAGCAATAGATCGACGAGATTGACTTGTTTAACTGTTGGTAACACTTTTATGCATGTATTACTTTTGATTTCATAATTGTTTATTGTCATGATTGAATTCACATATCAGACTGTTTGCTGATGTGATGATGGATGATTTTGATTTTGATGTTGGAATTCTTCCAGGGATTTTGAATTTGAAGTCATTATAGTGGATGATGGAAGTCCTGATGGAACTCAAGATGTCATAAAACAACTACAGAATGTATATGGCGAAGATCGCGTTGTGAGTAGTCTAGTTAGATTGAGATACTGAAACTTCTTGTTGATTTTATGTCGTCTCCAATTTCTTATGCCTTTTTTTGTGTGATGCAAATTGTCAGCTATTACGAGCAAGGCCGAAGAAGCTTGGTCTAGGTATGATGAATTTTTTTTAGGTGACAACTTGAAATCTATTCACTGAACTGGAACAATAATATTCAGGAACTGCTTACTACCATGGTCTTAAGCATGCATCTGGAGATTTCATAATAATCATGGATGCTGATCTGTCACACCATGTAAGTGTCTTGATCATCTATAATAGCCAATGTTGACTTCATGCAGAACTATGAAGAACTTATATCGCTTGCTCTATGTTCCTTTCTTATGATTTTTTTTTCTTGTTTTACAGCCAAAATACTTGCCAAGCTTCATCAGGTAGGAGTCTATATAGCATTTAGTTTTGAATGTAAAATTATCTGTTGACTATGACAATTATCTATATGAATAAATTGTCTTGTATAAAAATGATTAAACATATTTCAGATTGCCTTCTTATGCTTAGCTAGATAACACCATTTTTATTTGTAGGTAGTACGGCCATGTGAATAGTTTTACGTCATAGTTTCAGCAGATGCATAATCATGAACATACACGATATTTGTAAAAGCATAGATTAAGTCAGTATATTAAATCAAATGAAAAAAAAATGTAATTTGGTCTAGATATTATTATGCGGTGCTGAATTCTGTCTACCAGTTAGGAAAATACATAAAAGAGCATATACTAGATGGATATGTATGTTTTTTCTGTGATTTCCAAAAAGTATGCTTTAGTGCATTTTCATGGACTTGGTACTAATCGGACAGAAATGTATATTTTAATATCTCAATATGCAATGTTAATATAACAATGCTTGTTTTCACCTTAACCAGGAAACAGATGGAAACTGGTGCAAGTATAGTTACTGGAACCCGTTATGTCCGAAATGGTGGCGTACATGGATGGAACCTTATTCGTAAACTGACTAGCAGGGGAGCAAATGTGCTTGCACAGACACTCCTATGGCCTGGCGTATCGGATTTGACTGGATCTTTTAGGTATCCTTTTTCCTCGTTTGGCATCCGTTGGGATCTATGTTTGAAGTCGATGCCTAATTCTGCTGTTACCATTGTGTAGGCTGTACGAGAGGAAAGCATTTGAAGATATTATAAGCTCTGTTGTAAGTAAAGGATATGTATTTCAGATGGAGATGATTGTTAGAGCTAGCAGGAAGGGGTATCACATTGAAGAGGTTAAGATTTTTTGCTTTATCTTCTAGATGCTTTTGTTGTGTTTTTTTATCATGTTTTAGACAAAATTGGATTCTGTTATTATCGTTGTTGTTATGCTGTCTTTCATATTAAACGTAGCGTATCTTCTGGAGTTATGTTTCCATTTTTATGTGCTGCAGGTTCCGATAACTTTTGTCGATAGAGTTTATGGAAGTTCAAAACTTGGCGGATCCGAGATACTTGAATACCTCAAAGGGCTGGTTTATCTGTTGATCACTACTTGACAGGAGGAACAAATTGTCTGAGTTCCTCACTTTGTTGGTAACATTTGTAGAGCATCCCTAATTATCATTTGGTTCCTTTTTCATGTAAAACAAGTCAAAGTGAACATCAAAATGAACTACTCATTATCATTTGTAGTCCATTGATAAAGTTGAGTGACCAAAATTTTGCAGCCTGCATATATTTACTTTCGGCTAAACTTTTTTATCTTTCTTGGTGAGCGATGGTAACATCCAAGTGAATATATCGTATGCAAAGAGGATACGAAAACAATATGCAAATCTTATAAATATCCTGTCTTCCATTGGGTTCATCATCCACGATACAACAGATTATAGCAGATGCATCATAACCCGGTAAATGAACGAACCATAGGCTTAGTTAAGTTGGTTTAGTGGCTTTGTTACATGAAAATGAAATAATGTACATTTACACTAAATATATCTGATCAAAATCTCATGACTTGCCCCTTAAAAAATATTTCCCTGGGAAAGCATAGAATGAGAGGAAGGAGTGAAGACTAGAGACTGTCGTACAAAGGCAGCACATTGCTGGGCGATGTTTCTTCTCGATTTCTGTTGAAGGCTCACGAAGGACGAAAGTCTTCAGCAACATAACCTGATGCCTCTGCCAGAGCTTCAAAATTCTGCTCCCCACTGAGGATCTGCGAAGACAAACACAGCCTTGAGACGTTTTGTGTCATAGAAACGAAGTGCAAGAGGAGCCTAAGTATGCCCGGTGGAACTGCTTAGTTGTTGCTATGCCTCCTCGTCACGGTTATCAGCAAGGAATCATAGTAGACCTGTCAGATGGCCGTCCTATTCTTTCTGTTATGAACTGTGCTAGGATGGATGCCCAAAAGATTTTAATCATACTTCCGATGTAGATCGGCAGTCGACGTCTAAACTAAAAATAAAAACAATAGAAGTGGATGCGACAGATTCAGCATTGGGTTATCCTTTGATCTCTAGATAAAAGATCCATGTGCAAAATATTGTGGCAGGCATTACATGCACATCTATTAAGAATTTATTAAAAAAAAATTGAAAATTTTACCTTGTCTTTTATAACCCATGTTGGAAAGCCTTCGAGTCCAGCAGCTGCACATTGCAAAGCCATCTTTTTTCCTTTGCCAGCTCCATCAGGGAAGCACTCAACATAGTTCAATATTTTTGCGGCTTCACGACCAAACATCTGCGACAACCAATAGGAAACAGAATTAATGGCACAAATTTTAGAAAACTTGCAGAATTATGTTTCTGCCGGACCAGTACAAGCAAGGATTTCTTTCAAGAAATAAGATTGTTAGACCAATTTCTGAAGGAACAACATTTAACGAGGGAGAATCTGCCAAAGATTACCAAGGAAAAAGGTGAAAATGAAGTTACCAAGAGTCAAGAAACAAGTCAGGAGATTTACCACTAGCTGTGACATTAATCTATAGCATTTATGGCCATCATGCTGACACCTAGCACAAGTAGATTTCAGTTAATTTAATTTCTGGTTGTTCCTTTCCTCCATTTTTCGCCCATTTTACATGGATGATTGAAACTGACATGAAGTTTTTTGTTTATGAGAGGCCAATCTCAATGTCCATCTCACTGGCTGTCTTATTTCCTTTGCTGATAGAGCAGCAAGACATCAAATTACATCCAATGCAGATACAGTCCACTGAAATATGAATACATCATCTGATGTTCAGTCCATTACTAGGTTTGAAATTTGCCACAAGTAAAAAATTACTCAAAATTTATGGAAAAAAAAAAGACTTCCCTTGTATGTCAAATAAAAACATGGTGAAATGATGAGTGCCTGTGAGTTTTGATATACCTAATTCTCCATTATTTCTGACGTATATGAGTTGAGATTCCAAATGACTAATCTTGATCTAGGAATGTGAAAAGAGTGAATCTCAACTTCAATTTATAGGCCATAAAGAATCTAAATAAAAGATTGAGCGACAGAGCCATAGCTGTTGACTCTTGGATGATCAAATGCATACACGGTACCCTATACTTTGAATTTTGTTATATCAGCAGTTAAGACAATTTCAAACACTGGTTTATCTAGTACCACAATCCACCCAAAATGTCAGATTAGTGGTTTTATCCAAACGAGTCAAGCTGCATATACAATAATATCTCAGACTCACATTCATGAAATTATATGTCCGCATATTGGTAAATAAATTTTTTTTTTGTTCTCTAGTGGGTTGAGTACTTTCGCCCACTAGTGTATCAAGAACAGAGTTGAATAAAGATGGTATTAGCTAAGGCAAAGAAAGCTCCAAGAATCAATAAAACACTTGTTAGGGTAGTTTTAAAATAATATAAATATAAATCAGATGGAGAAAAATAGAAGCAAACAATAGATGTCCTCATTAGTCAGATATTAGATGCTCTATGGCATCATTTCTGTAAGTTACTTTGATGATTGAGCACCTATCATCTACACTGCTTAAATTGGTATGTCACTAGATAAAGAATGAGTCAGAGAAGTACTTAAAATGTCTAGGCTCCATTGAGGAGCTGAAACAAGAACATATTGCATATTGATTAAGGCATCTAAAATTTATAACACCTTTGGCATTTATGTATATCTGCATGCATCACACAATAGTGTGGTAAATAAGCCTGAGAAACTTTAAAAATTATCATATCCCTTGATTAGGATAGGAATGCAACAACTAACTTTGGAAGTGTGCTTGATTACAAGCAGTTTCTGAAATTCATATCAAAGATGTAATATCTAACTATTTGTTTTCTTTTCACTCATATTTCCCATTGAATGTTCTTAAATAAGGTACATGCTATTGGTTAACCTTTTTTCTAAGAAATCAATACCTCCTTGCTTCCTTTAGAAACTCAGATTTGCTCCAAATTCCAACTTTGTGAACTTGGGTATAATCAAGGTTCGCCATACCGCCCGATACGATATGGTCGGTATGTACCAATCCGCTCGACGAACAGTACCCAGACCAGCCTGTATCAAGGGGGACGCATCAGGTGAGGTGTACCAACATTGATCAGGTATTGGGCAAGATGATTGAAACTCAACCAATAGTCAATAAAAATCGGATTTCGATCATGCCAGATCATCAATGGCTCAAATCAAGGCTGGTCCAACGGTCATTACCTTACTTTTAGGGCCAATTCGGGGGTAATTAGGCCTAATCCTATCAAGTTGGGAGCTATAGTGTGTCGCTATCTAAAAAAACAGGTTCAATTAGATCTATTATCTTACTTTTAGGACAAATTTATGGGTAATTAGGCCTAATCACATCTTCGTAACATATGATTAGTGTTTCTCTTAAGCTTAGGTACAATTAAGGCTATTAACTAATTTTAAGGTCAAATTTGGGTGTAATTAGGCCTGATTCAGCTTATATTATACCGTATAATATAGTTGTACTGATATAGATCCTACAACATCTTTTAAAATTTAATGTTAGAGACAAAGATACATTCCAAATTCTACTTTTTCTACTTTGGTGTCCTTGGAATGCACTGTCAACATTTCATCCATCCAGATATACTATCCTTTTCATTTCACATATCTTAGTCTTAAGCAGGAGAAAAATGAGAGCATAGATGATCATCAGCACTGAATGCTAGAAATTGGACTTCTGAATTTTCTTATCACTGAAATGAATTAAGTGAAGAACTTCCAATTTATCACTTCTTTCATGTAAAATAAGTTTCTCTGATGATAATGTATGATCTTGTAATAAAAGTTACCTGCTTCTGTTCATTACAATGAGAGCACCAGAAGGCCCCATACATCTTTGCACCTATGGAACGCAGGTGTTTTGCAAGAGAGAGAGCCATCGGGGATGATTGACTTGTTATCTCAGTTTCATATGGCTCCAAGGTCAAATCATTTAAACTGTACAAAGTAGAAAAGCAAAAGTACATAAGCAAACTCCTCATAATGGAAGTTTATAATAAATGCAAGCTAATGAGATTTAACAACTCATAAAATAGAACCTAAGAAATGTAAACAAAAGTACAATATTGGGTCACATGGCAATAGGACAATTCAAAGTTGTTAAGCCAATGCACCTATATGGGGATTCATAAATGACACTCGCTGCAAATCCTATCGTCCAACCCTTAGCCTAATATTTGTTTCTTCATCATGTTCTTTAATGGACTAATATAACAATAACAACAACAAAGTCGTAAGTTACAACTATGTAGGATCGGTTACATAGATCTTTTGTTGTCATTGAGATTTGTATAAAGTTATATGTTTAGTTAAGTTTAGAGTACTTAAATCTTTATTTATAATTTTTATTAAAGTCGTTTTAGGTCTTCCTCTATCTCTCCTCGCACCAATAACATTAATCATTTCATCTCTTCGAACTCTCGCATCCAAAGGTCTTCTAAGCATATGTTCATACCATCTTAAATGATTTCCTCTCATCTTATCCTCTATCAAAGTGATACTCACTTGTTCACGAATAAAAATATTTTTTTCCTATCTTTTGTAGGAACTTTACACATCTATTTCAACAACACAAACTTTTTGTATATATCAAAGTTTGAAATTTCATACCATACGATGTATTGAACTTTGCTCGGTACAGTAGTGTATGTTGTACCAAGCAGTGCGCTAGGACGTACTGAGTGATATGCCTATATATATATATATATATATATATATATATTAAAAAATATTTAAAAAAAGGCGTACACAGCCTCGGCGACATCGCCTTCTCTTCTCATCGTTTGCAACATTCGACAAAAAAGGCGATGAAGACGTTAAAGGCAGCAAACGTCTCCGACCTTCGGTGAACACCGCGACGAAGGCCGCAAATGTCTCTGGCCTTCGACGAAGAAGGTCACAGAGTCGCAGATGAGGCGATGAAGGAGACTGCCTCTTCCGTTACTCTAACCGTTGCCTTCCCTGATCCCTCGCCTCCAGATCCTCCTCTTTACGAGTCTCCTCATCGTTACCTCCTAGATTGAGATCGTCGAGGGAGGGTGGCGCCGGATAGGGATCGAGAAAGGGAGTGGAAGCAAGTTCGCGCCGAGGTTCACCCGATTCTCCCTCTTCTTTGAATGCCCTCTCTTCTTCCTTCTTCGACGCTTCTCCCTCAGCCTCACTACAACCAAGCTGTTATATCGAGTAGACCACCCAGTAACAGGCGGTCTGCGTACCGGTTCATGGGCAGACTAGTACGTACCACTCGTACCGGACGATACGATTCAAAATCGTAAACCTTGGTATATATTGTTTCTTAACTGCTCAACACTCAGATCCCGAAGCATTGTTAGTCTCACAATTGTCTTATAAAATTTTTCTTTTAATCTCAAAGGTATCCGATGTTCACACAAGACAACTAACACCCCTCGTCATTTTAACTATGTTATTTTCACTCTATGAATAATATCATTATTGATCTCTCCATTTTATTGAATAATTAATCCATGATATTTAAAGTTTTTACTTAAATGAACTTCTTTTCCATTCAACTTAACTATATTCTCATATATTCACTTTTAGTCATATTTAATCTAAAACATTTAGTTTCTAAGGATTACCTTCGTAACACAAATTTATAATTAATTCTACTTAGGCTCTCATTAATTAAGATAATATTATCAACAAATAACATATACCAGGGAGGTCTATTGTGTAGCTTTTATGGACTAATAAAAGAGAAAATTGATAAAAATAAGAAAATAAACCAAAGAAAAATAATATACTAGTAACTTTGAGAAAGAGAAGCTAGCTGATACATCAATATAACACTTGCTATGATAAGATTTAAATTTCAGCGAAATATATCGACTATAGATTTGTTCTCTGATGTTCTTGTTATACAAAAAATAGTTAGTAAAATTAAAATTATATTAGGAGAAAGACAAGTTTGATTATACTGTGAAAAAGGCCAAAACAAAATATGACAACAATACTATAAAGCATGAATTTGATAATACCTATGCCTTTGAGAATAACATATGAAGAATTATTAAACACTCTTGAGCCTAAAAAACTTACCCAAGTAACCGAGAATCGCCCATATTATATGTATTTGTTAAAGCAGTAACCACCACACCAGCAATCACCAACTGTAGCCCAACCACATTTCTAATCTCTTCCATGCCAATCTCCTAGTAAAGAGCAAGAGGCAATTCATCACCTAGTGTGATTTGATAAGATAATTTGCTTGAAGAATATAGCTAAAAACAAACCTTTAAAGTAATGAAAAATAAGCTGAAAGACAGAACTGCTGAGAACAGACAATATGAACAAGTTGTTCCAGCGAACTTTGTGCTTAGAATATAAAGAAAATAAGCACTTGCTGTTGCCATTGAAGTAGTGGTTGCAAGCAAAATAAAGCGAGCATCAGTGTCACCTAGTCCAGAAAGCAAATTCTTTCCAGACTGCTGGAGAGAAAGCAATGCGACAGATCCATATGCAAGCATCCCAAATAATGGAAGGGGCAAGCCTGACAAATTATTAAAAATAAATCATGAATCAACTTTTAAAACATGTAAAAAAACTGCAATATAATGTAATATAAATAAAGAAAATAAGGACTAATTTTCTAAATGGAAGTAAAAGACCGAATCAATTATGACAACATAAAGAAAAAGATTGTAATCAAATTTCACAATAAAAAAGGTAGTGACAAAGCATAAAGTTTTGTGCCCTCATCATCCTTAGGAACTATCTAAAAGTTAGGGTGTGGATTTTTCTAGCATATTCACCTGAACCAATAGTATGGAGAAACATAGCCATGGATATGGTAAAACATAGTTACTACTGTAATGACTCATCATAGCAATCATGCCAGTAAGATGTCGTACAAACCTCAAGTTATTACTCATCTAAAAGGATTACAAGTTGGCTTGCAAACCAAAAGAACACCGTGCAACGTAACATATAAGGAAGCACCGCATACACTTATCTAAAAGTTGTGTTTGGAGTGTTGAAAAGTCAACGGGGACAACTATAGATCACCATCAAAGTACCTCAGATTTCATGAAGCACCTTAGAACAATGTGTAAAGCACATTCCTCTAAGGTATATGCCTTTTTTGTATGTATAACACTAACTATTATTGTGATGACAAATAAATAATAAATATCACTACACACCTCAACAACAACAACAATAAAATCATAAATTCCAACTATTTGGGGTCAGATACATAAATCTTTTGTCGCTATTGAAATTTGTAAAAAGTCATATGTTTAGTTAAGTTTAGAGTACTTAAATCTTTATTTATAATTTCTATTAAGGTTTTTTTATGTCTTCCTTTATCTCTCCTCGTACCATTAATATTAATTATTTCATCTCACTGCTGCATTCGGAGGTTTCCTCAGCACATATCAATACCAACTTAAATAGTTTTCTCTCATCTTATCCTCTATTGAACAATATCTAGTTATTCACGAATAAAAATATTGTCAATCTTTAAATTCTTTTATAGCCTTTATTTTATAGCCAATCTTTAAATATTGCCAATCTTCAAATCCTAGTAACCTCACATATCCATCTCTTTTATAGCCTTTATTTTAGATTCTTTATATCTTTTAATTTTTTCTCATTTTTATAATTTTGCCAATCTTTAAAACATAATCTTTTAGTAAAAATTATTTTTTAAACTTCCTCGCACCACCACCAACTCTCTCTTAAGGTTACACCTCTATATTTAGTTTCACTAAAAATCTCCTTTGTTAAGTTCATAATCTTATTAGCCATCATAGTTCAAATAATATTAATATTATCCTCATCTAAGTTTCAAGTTGTCTTCCTTTCCATCTTATTCTTAAAAATGTTTATTTTATCATTTTTAAAATTCCATCATCTAGTCTTAGTAATTTGTTCTACTATCTTTTTCTTCTTTCATTTTCTATAGTAAATATCTAATACCATCAACATATGTTGATTCATCAAACGACTCAAACCTTCACCACGTATAACTTTACAATTCTTACAAATAACTTTGTCTACCTTTCTAGTGAGAAAAAAGTCTATTTGACTATAATTATAACCACTTTTATAAATAATTAAATGTTTATCTCTCTTCTTAAAGTGAGTATTCACAATTATAAGATTATATGAAGTTGCAAAATTCAAAATCATTCCATCATCTTCATTTCTCTCCTCGTAACCAAAGCCCCGATGCATCTATTTATATTCACCATATGTTTTCCTTACATGACCATTCAAATATCTTATAATTATAAGTTTTTTGGTTATAGGCATTCCTTGAATGATATCATCTAAGCTTTTCTAAATTCTCCTTTGTTTTGATCATCCAATCCAACTTAAGCGACATAAGCACTAATAACATTCAAAACATCTATCTTTTCACAAATTTTAGGATTATAATTTTATCTTAAATCTTTTTACATATAAAATATTGTTTTTAACATCCTATCAACAATAATTCCTACACCATTTATGTGTTTGACTTTTCCGGTATACCAAACCTTAAATCCAATACTATCAATCTCTCTAAACTTGTCCCCTACCCATTTAGTCTCCTGTAAGCAAATAATATTTATTCTTCTTCTGATCATAGTGTCTACCAATTATAATCCCTTCCTAAAAGTGTCCCTATTTCCATGTTAATAACCTAACCCTCTGTTCCTAGACTAGCTTCCTTACTCCCATTGGTCCAAAACAATGAGAAAACCCTTGCCTACTTAACACCACTTCCGAGTGCCAATTTGATGGGCCGCTTCCAGGCGACCTCCTAGCCCACTGCTTGCAATTTAGGAGGTGGTGAAGATACCTTGTGTCACTTCTGGGTGTCGATCTAGCTTTATACTAAAATTGATTAAGATCTATGTTCATGAGATCTGACATAGTTTTACGTTATTTGTCAATAACCTAACGCAACCCACTATCTTTTTTGTCCGGGCTTGGGACCGACATTGACGGTGTTAAAAAAAAAACTCCTACAGATTAAAAAAGAAATCCCAGAAACAATGCATAAAAGCTATCAAGTTGAATAATAATCTACAAAGTCAGGTTGCAGAAAGCTCTTACATGCACCTTGGAGTGAAACTTAACTATGATAACATGCAAAACTGACCACCAAAAACCTTTTATATTCCAGATATTTTATGAAAAAAAGTCAAGTTATTACAGATGAATTACTAGAAGAACAAAAAAAAAAGGCAGAAAAGACAGTTCACAACCTCGAATCTGTAGGACATAGATGATAATGAGGTCTTTGTGAAGGTATACAAGCATATAAGCTGGATAGACACTCCCATTTTCAATTACGTCTTCTCTCTCCAAAAATTTGGGAGATACAGTATCATTGAATTTTAGCTTATAGGAAACACAACTCGAGAAGGATCAACGAGCAACCAGGCAAAAGGATAGATAGAAACAGAAGGGAGGCCGAAAAGACTACCAAAAACAGAGGAATAGTCACTATTGAGGACATCGCTGCAGCTAGCACCACCAACAGGGCAGAAGGCTTCGGCGCCGCTGAACTTTAAGTAGGTGAGGTACCCGGTCTCCAAGAACCCTAATGCTCCAAGACCGGCGCTCCAAGTGCTCGTCGGAATGCCCCAAAGGGAAGGCTCCAGTGGAGGTTCGGGATCGTCCTGGGAGGAAGGCTCCGCCCGGCACCTAATTCGCCATACCCTCACTGCCCTCTGCAACACGATTCGCGTGTAAACAATGAATAGTAAACCTCCAGATCTCGAGATCGAGAATGAGAGAACGAGAGAAATACTAAAGAGAGACCATGTCGCATGGCGGGAAGCGGGCGGCGAGACGGGACAGCGGAGGACGGGGGACTGCGAGGGCGACAGAGATGCTCGCCATCGAGAGGGGAAGTCTCCCACGGCTGCTTCTCCTGAGGAGTCTCCACCACCACCAGTCTTATATAATACTGTTAATTCAGTTAAATGATAAAAAAAAAACCGACTTTATTTTCTCTCTATGGTTTTTTTATTGATAAGTTTTGAAATAATTAAAATATTTACTGACTAAACTAATCCCACTATTAATACTAAAAAAAAGACTTGCTCTATTGTCACCGATAGGTATTTATCATTTTTATAATAATAAATAATGATAATTTTATTAATTATTATGGATTTAATTGATTTTGCTTATGTCGTGTGACATACGTATCGGTCCGACATATATGAGTCCAAATTGAACCCAATCCACTGCGATCGCTGACCACTGCTCTCGTTCTGGGCGGGCCTGACATTTGCATGCGAACTCGATCGGGCCATCATGTGGATTGGCACACACTACGTCAATTGTATCACCTATAACGGCCAGCGGTGCGGCGCACGTCAAGCGAGTCTCTCGACTCATCCAATTAGTACATCCGACCACGTTTCTCTATGATATCTCATCATTCCAACCCACAGAAGGATACGTCTGTTGCCAAATCTCTACTCCAACCGACCATTACATGAGAGCACATCTTTGCCCTTCAAGCCTTAACTTGCCTTCTGCAGCTCCATCGGTTCACCCACAGCCAAAACCCAGCAAGCGCTGCCGGTGAAATGGCCAGGGCATGGCGATGGCTTAACGCAGTCCGCCGCTCGCTCATCCGATCCTCCTCCTGCACGTCGGCCGCCGACCTCGACGCTATCAAGAACAACACCACCATCTACAATCCGATGATAGCGGAAGAAGGTGATCCCGCCTCCGCCACCAGAATTACTCATGGCGATATCGTGGTGTACAAAGAAGAAGCTCCCTCGAGAGAGAACTCGGCGGCCATCACAATCCAAGCACACTTCAGGGGTCATTTGGTAGACACTGTTTCTTCTTCCTTGGTTTGGAATTCGTTTTGTGTGGTTGATGATACCGTGTTGTCTTCGAGTTCGCGTGAGCAGGCGCGGCGGGCGTTCCGTGCACTGAAGAGCCTGGTGAGGCTGCAGGCGGTGGTGCGGGGGGCGTGCGTGAGGCGGCAGGCGCGAGTTGCCGTCCACTGCATGCAGGCGCTGGTGCGGTTGCAGGTCCGGGTGCGAGCGAGGCAGCTTCGCGGCAGATCTGGAGAGGTCGAGCGCCCGTAGCCGAGGGATCGTTGATGAGAATGGAAGATAGTGAGTGCTCGTCGATGATTGATCTGAGAAAGCCTTTGAGATCTGTAATGTGTTATTTGGACGGTTAGCGTTCTTGCAATAAAAATGGATTTAGTATTCTTTGATTTTTTTTTTCTTATTTGTATGATTTAATTTAAGGTTGGAACAAAATTAAGATTCAAACAATAATTATTATTTCCTTCAAAAATATTTCGTGTCGATAAAAATCAGCTAAATTATTTGTAATATATTTCATGATATATACTCTCTATTGTTCTGAACACAGGATGAAGAGTTGGTATATGGCTATTATAACGGTGTATATATCTATTATTAAAACGGTACAATATTTATGTCGGATTAAAAACGGGCGTTTATAAGCTCTCGCGATTATGTCGGTTTTCGATATGTACGGTCGCTGCGAAGATGACCGAATCGTTCGTCGTCCACCCTCACTCCTCTCTTTTTCCTTCTGGTTTCCCCTTCTTTCCTTCCCCTGCGTGACTCTTCCTCTCTTTTTCGTCTCGAGGTGCATTTTCGGCGCAGGAGGTAGAAACCTAGATCCCTTTGCAGCTCCACTTCTCGATTTCCCTTTTGAGCCTCTTTATCCTTTTTGATCGTTCTCTTTTTTTGCCTTTGTCGTTGTTTCCACCCATTTAATTCCGCGAATCGGAACAGAACCCTAGTTTCTGATTTGCATGTTGGTCGGAGACTTACCAGAATCATAAGGCTTTACGTGAGGTCTTTTGTATTCCTTTGGCAATCTAGTCAATCATCTGTTTGATCTTTATATTCTATGAGCTTTGAAGAAAATCATGCGATTGGAAGGAGGATTTCTACATAGTTCTGTTCACAATGCTGCTTTGTTCAACCCTATCAGTTCACATTAGCACAAAGCAGCCTTAACTGCTTGTTGATCGTTTTTTCCGTTCATGATGCTTGTGTGAGACTAATTGCTTTACTTTCTTTGAGATGAATCAGTAAATTGTATTCTTATGGGTGGATTTATCTATGGCAGGTTCATTGGATATTATAATCTTTAGGTAGATCTTCTTGGCATTGGACAAAATGTTGGACCCACAATGTGAGGTTCAAGGTTCTGAATACTTTTTCTGTCACTTGTATGGAATCTTATTCGACCAGTATGTTGCCTTCAATACACTGATGAACCAGTATGGTACTGAACTGGTATGGTACCTGTCGTGGTATTTGATACCATGCTTAGGTTATTTTTATTTGGTATTTATTTGTGGCTGTTTCCTATGGCTTTGGTTTGTTAATTTCACATTGTAGGTTAATTAGAGACTTCATCCTTTTGTTTCTGAAACCTAGATGTTTGTATCCTAGTAAAAGACTTTCATACTCCTTCCAATTATGCAGATAATAAGAGTCTTCAATTCCCCATATGCTGTTCTTGATGATTAAATTGTGAATAACCATGTATCATTTAGGATGATCATTAGTCTGCAAAGAAGATTTGAAGAAGTATCAAAATCATTTCATTAGGAACATCATCACTTAATCTTTAATGTTATACATACATATTTTCTGTAACATACTTTATCTTCATATTAGTTAATAATGGATAAGATTGCAGGTCATATATGTTCTTTTAAATATTGAAAATTCTTTAACCATTTAAGGTTTGATGTAGTTGAGATTGCACAAGAATGAACAAATGTAGGAGTCATGATACAATCATAGGACCTCATCTCTCCTATGGATAATGGCTTCAGTGTTGACTCATAACACTGAAGCCTTTATATAAGCTTATGAGATCTTTTTTCCAATAGTAAGAAGACTCTAAAAGTATTAATTTGTGTCTCTTAAAATCTTACCTAATGAACTATTTAAGTCTTTTAGAACTTGATAGTTAGTGGCTTACAGACTCTTCCAAACCAACCAACACCATAAATAAAGGTAAGAATTAAACTTGGAAATATGACACTTAAACTTCATGATGTAATGAGTAGAGAGGGCTAAAATTCATCCCTAAATCATTTAAAGATACAAAATCTTGGTCTAACAATTATTGTACTCAAGTTGAATGCTAATTAGACTTTTGAATTTTGAGTTGCATCATTCAATTTTTTATCATGCAACATCATATCCTCCTGATTGTTTGTTATGGTTATGAAGACTTGTCATCTTTAAGATTTCATGATTTGCCAATACCAAGTCCTTGAATGGCTTGATTGAACCAGTTGATCCAAGTTGTCTTCATCATGAAATATTGATTAGGTATTGGCCTACAGACAAAAGTTAACTAAGGTCCTTATATTTTTTAATTAGTATGTGGACTTTATTATGTTTTCCCCCCCTCAGTTGTCCAATAGAACAATAGATGAAGGTCTAGGCATACTTTCTCCTAAGTTTGTAGGTTCTACATTACGCCCCATCACTTTGCTATACTTTTAGAAATAAATAAAAATGTGCTGCATAGACCTGTGTTCCATTGTTTTTCGTTGTCATAGAAAAATTAGGGCTCATTTTTCAGTAGTTGTTCCATCAATACTTTAAGTTTAACCTCATTTTAGTTTCTCTGATTTTCTCTTTGATGAATTTTAATTGATACATATCACGAACGATCGTCGCGCACTCGCAACAACTTCGTTTGACGAACCGTTCGTCGTTTTTGCATGCTTGAACAGAGATATGACAGCTTGTTTTGCCTTGATTTTGTGTGTTTTGCTTGTAAAAATACATGTTCGAACAGGTTGTAGCGCTACAGTGTGACCGCTCACCGCACCGGGCCAAAAAGCCCCAAAATGGCTCCGTTTTCATGTGTCGCGGGATGTTTTCTACAGCCCGCTACAACGCCTAAAACGTCAGCCATCTCAACACCCTGGAACCCCCTGGGTGGCACAGGGCTGGATGAGGCTTCAGTATATTATCGGGCGTTGAAAAATCTTCACAAGTTTGCACGTTGATTTGATGGGAACTTGCCTTCGCGCCCGACACTCGGTGAGCAGTTGTTTGTGGACTTGTAACTCTTCGTTTTACTTTCTAAAATCCTTGTTTTTTTTCCTTCCTCTTTTTTCTCTTATGCATACAAAGTACTTGCTGAATTGCTTGTAAAGCTTCCCTCTTTATGAGACATTGGGACTTATCCGTTGCTCGTTTTCAATCTAATCAACTTTTTATTTTACCGGTCCTTCGGGACCTGTACGAGGTTGCAACTAGGCTGACCCTTTGCGGACGCATATGTCGCAAGGGCACCTCATGACTTAGGCAATCCCAGCTAAGTCTGAGAAGTTGGTGCAAGAGTGTATCGCGTCTTAGGCAACTCAAGCTAAATTCGCGTCTTGACCATAAAGGTGCCTCACGACTTAGACAATTCCAGCTAAGTCCGTGACACATAGGCAGAAAATAAACTGCAAATTCAGATTCTTTTATTTTGAGAGATCTAGACATGGCCTTAGTATTAAAAGTCAAAAGTGTGTGGAAGAGAATGCGGAAAAGAGGTGGAGACGTGCATGGAAGAAAGAAAGGGGGGCATGGGGAGGGTTAGTTGGAGTTTCAGGTGTGAGAGAAAAAAAGAAAGAAAGAAAGAGAGAGAGAGAGAGAGAGAGAGAGAGAGAAAGAGAGAGAACTTCAGGTGTGCTGGTTGCAAAACCATCCATGTATTTGTTGTCATCATATTATGAACATTTTATGCTTTTTATGTTGACTACATGCGAGCTGTGCTGCATATTTGTTTTAGTGAATAAAATATTATGTTGGTGCAAATAATTGTTACTTTGTTCTATAATTCTTGATACAGTTAATTGATGATTTAAATTTATATGTCTATTTAAATTGATAAATTGCCCAGTCTTCTCGTATGTTTCTCCTGTTTTAACATTTTTGTTGCTATTGAACCTGTCATCAAGACTTGGAATTTGCAAGTTCTCTTTGGACGACTGATTTGATGTTCTAAACAAAAAGTCATTTACTAATAACTGAGCCTACTTATTACTAAGCCTAGAATTTTACTTTTTGGCTCTTAATGAACTGTTTAGACACTTGTGATTCTCTTCTTTAACAGAGAACGTTATAGGCGTAGGTCATCAAGGGGGTATCACCACCTATTCACAGATCTCGATCTTGGTCAAGAATCTGTGACAGGTAACATTATTTAGCTTTACCATTCAAAGTCCAGTTAATATAGAGTTTCCATGTGAATAATCCTTTTTCAGATTCCAATAGTAAGATACGATGATCTGTCAGGAACAATGCAGCAAATCCTGGAAATACACTTTACATGACAGACCTGTACAGTAGAGTCACAATAGGGACCTTGAGAATTCACTTCTCAACGGAGGGAAAGGTCTGTTGTTTATAAAAGTTTGTCAGTGTTATATGGAACTGAGTGCCATTGTTTCTCAGGTGACCAATTGTGACTTAATTGTCGAACCACTGCTATGCGTGTTTCTCGACCAATTGTGGTGTAACCCTGTAGTTCGATTAGCCTCCATGTCCAATTGTTGAACCATAGCGCTGGATATGGACTTTCTTGACTGGTAAAGAATGTCTGTCATTGAACTCGCTTCTGCTTCCTTAGGCAGTTTATATGCTATCTATTTCCTGCTTGCTTGACCATTAGATCATGTGACTCGGTTGGGTCGATGGACTGCTATTGCGTAGGATTTGGATCCAATGTTGTACTCACTGCACAAGTGCAGTGAAGAGTGGTTGCATATATCTCAAGTACGATTAGTGTCTAAATCAAACTGACATGGTCCACCAAAAGAGGAAGGAATTCCTAGCCTGGAAGCTGAACTAAAGGTATGTAATCCACCACCATGTTATATCAGTTTTGATTGCTGAATTGCTTATAATGATTGAATTTGTAATTTAAAGTGTGTCTGAATATTTGGTTGTTGAAGGTGAAGGTGATAATGATTCGGCAAGTTAAATAATAACAAGAAAACAGCTTTCCCAGAAGAACGTGATGGGGTGTTTCGCTTTGTGACGGCATATGCCTGTACTTATTCTTCCAAACAATTATTATGGGAGTCACGCTGCAATTGGACTCAGGTACATCACGTATCTCGAAATATGCTTCAATTTTATAATGCCCAAGTATTTTCCTGCGTTCACTTAGTTGGATGCTAGCTCATAGTATAACAAAAACAATGCCCCAAAAATGCTGGCATTCCTCTACAGAAAGCTGGCCACGAACAAAGGTCGATCTTACTTTTACCAGTCATCCAATCACATTATGTGATTCATGATCGTCTCATTTATTTTGAAATTGCTCCAAACATATTTGATACTGATCTCATTATAGTATAAAACATAATTTGAATATTATTCAAGCAACATGTCCAGTTGCACCAAGGTATATGTAGCATTAGATTAGTTCATGGGAAGATATCCAAAGATAAATCCGTAGCCCTTAAAATAAGCCCTCTAAATTGGAAGTTCGTTGGATCAGTTTTCTTAAGTTTGTTTATTTCCTGATTGTATTTAAGCACGCTTTTGCATTTTGCCGATCTATGGGATTATTCGGGCGTACATTTAAATATGCATATAAATCTCTTTTGCTGGAATGTAGCTAACTAGGAATTGAGTGAATTATTGGACATGGTAGATGTGGGTTAGACGTGGTAGAAGTGGGTTTAAATCAACCACGGGCCATCATGAAAGGTAAGGAAAAGGGTTGGAAAAGGCTGATGGGCCCTACCACGTGAGGAACTGCCTCCCGCTAAGGAAAATATCTGTAAGCCAGGATGTGAGATGGAAGGGGGGATCATCGTGGCCTCGTAGCATTGGTGGTGGTGGTGGGCTCCTCGTTGGGTTATTTGGAAATTGCTGCATTGGTTTGGGATTTAATAGACTGATTGCGTGCCGACTGATCGCATAGATAACCTCCAGATAATTATGTTACTGTTGCCATGACTTAGCTTTTCCATTCTGTCGTTAAACTGTTCCGGCGGGTCTTCTTACCAGATCCATCTCTGTTTGGACAGACCCAATCTTGATTTCTTATATCGCCTCTCCTATGCCTTATTGTCGCACTGTGCTTTCCACCACTTTTGCCAAGGAAACGAAGTGACGAAAGGAGCAAGGAAAGGGTAGGGAGGCGATGGAGGTGTCGACGGCGATGTGGACGGCGGCTGTGGTGGGGGCGGCGGTGATTTACTGGTTCGTGTGGGTGATGGGGGCGGCGGAGGTGAAGGGTAAGCGGGCGGTGAACCTGAAGATGGGATCGATCACGCGAGACAAAGTGCAGGACAAGTACAAGCAGTACTGGTCTTTCTTCCGCCGCCCAAAGGAGGACATCGCCGCCGCCTCCGACGGCGACAAAGTCCCCGTCTTTGTCGATACCTTCTACAACCTCGTCACCGACATCTACGAGTGGGGCTGGGGCCAGTCCTTCCATTTCTCCCCTTCCCTTCCCGGCCGCTCCCATCGCGAAGCGACCCGCCTCCACGAGGAGCGCGCCGCTGACCTCATCGCCGCCCGCCCTGGCCAGCGCGTCGTCGACGTCGGCTGTGGCGTCGGCGGGCCCATGCGCGCCATCGCTGCTCACTCCGGCGCCCACGTCGTCGGCATCACCATCAACGAGTACCAGGTCGCTCGCGCCCGCGCCCACAACCGCAAGGCCGGCCTCCACGACCGATGCGAGGTCATCTGCGGCAACTTCCTCGAGATGCCCTTCGCCGACGCCTCCTTCGATGGCGCCTACTCCATCGAGGCCACCTGCCACGCCCCCCGCCTCGAGGACGTCTACCGCGAGGTCTTCCGGGTGCTCAAGCCCGGCGCCCTCTACGTATCCTACGAGTGGGTCACCACCGCGCTGTACCGGGAGGACGACCCGCGCCACGTCGAGACCATCCGCGGGATCGAGGCGGGGAACGCCCTCCCGGGGCTCCGTGCGCAGCACGAGGTCGCGGCGGTGGCGCGGCAGGTGGGCTTCGAGGTGGTGGAGGATCGTGACCTGGCGCTGCTCCCGGCCGGATCCTGGTGGACGCGCCTCAAGATGGGGCGAATTGCCTACTGGCGCAACCACCTGCTCGTTTCCGCCCTCACCGCGCTGCGCGTCGCCCCAAAGGGCGTGGTGGAGGTGCACGAAATGCTCTACGAGACGGCCCGCCACCTCAGCGACGGCGGCGAGACCGGAATCTTCACCCCCATGCACATGATCCTATGCCGGAAGCCCCTCGTCACTCCTAATTAATCAATCTTCCTCCAGATTCCACCGGGGGAGGGTGAACACAGAAGAGGTTAGAGTTGCTGCTTTGTCTTTGAAGTGCAAGCTTTAGTTCAAGTTCTGTTTTTTGGTTCAATTTCCTGCCTTGGCATCTTCTTTTTCCTTCAAGCTCTGTTCTTTAGTTCATTTCTCATTTCATTGCCTTCCAATCTGTATCTCTAACTTTCACTTCTCATGATTTGCTTCGCATTAATTGTTCGCATTTTTCTCCCCATTTCCATTCCTTTTGTTGTTTGTGTTGTTCTACTCTGCCCGTACGGTACATGTTGAACGCAGAGATGATGCAGAGAGTGAGTGAGAGGACACGTGGTGGGGTTAGGCGTTGTCAGAGCTGCTGACAACCCAACAGCTGAGTTCAATTAGATCCAAAAGCTGCACTAGAATTCACTCACGTGCAATCCACATCACGAGCACTTCCTTTCGATAATGAAGTGGACTAATCCACATCACGAGCACTTCCTTTCGATAATGGAGTGCCATGTCGTCTCTCGCACTAACCGAGCAAGACGATGATTCACGTGCCCTCCCTCACGCCGCGTGCCGGCACTCGCATGTGAGCCGAGTCGGTGGCGGGTCTCCTTGCGGCGAGATCGCGATCCGTGTCCACACCAACTTGAGCGAAGGAGCTGGTTAGTTGAATAGATTCCGTATGAATCCACGATGAATTTGACCGAGCATGCACTGCATATGTATCCGCGACGTTGCTTTGTCACGCTGACGACCTCATCATCATGTTAGTACTTTTCCGCGTTGAGCGATGTACTCTTGCCGCCCATCTGCTTCTCATCTATCACAGCATCAATGTAGATTATTACTGTTATGAAGTAATGTACGGAACAGAGATAGAGAAGAGACCACAACATCTAATCTAACCTGTACGATTATGGAGAGACCACGGTGAATGTGGACTGTCTGTCCCATGAGCCAACCTAGCGGCCACGGCAAATCTTGTTAGGAACGCGCACGCTATGGATCATTCTCACTACTGTGAGACATGTGACGTAGGGCCGCCGTGTTCGTCATATTCTCCGTCACCGTCACAGAACAGCCTACGCTGTCTCCGATTCCTCTCAAGGATACAGATAGATTTGAGCTGGCCTTTCTTGCTTATATAAGCGGAAACCCGCTCGATCATGGCAGAAAGAGATGGCCGAGGTGACGACGGCCAACCCAGCGTCGAGAAGAGCTGGGGTGCTCATGAACGAGAAGGCTCGGCCGGGGAGCGTCGTCGGGCGAGACGACGAGAGCGGCGCTGTCCGGGTCAAGATCGTGATGACCAAGAAACAGCTGAGGCAGATGGTGGCGGCGATGCAGCAGGGTCGGAGCTACACTGCCAGCCATCCGCCGTCGGCGTCGTCGAGCTTGGAGCAGCTGCTGCTGCGTTCCCTCCGGAGCAGGCACATGAAGAGAGCCGAGGCGGGTCAGTGTCGGAGCCGGTGGCGGCCGGAGCTGCAGAGTATACCGGAATAGGCTTGGCCTAAACCGCCCATCATCTCTTCTTACGCATATGACAGTGGCTGTAAAGCTGCTGCTACGACTGCTTCCATGCCTAGTGGTTTCTTGTGTTGTGTGGGAATTGTATTCCGAATTGCAAGTTCTCAAAACAGGTTCAAAAGCACATCTCCTGATCTCATCATCAAAGGACGAGGCTCTTCTTAGGTCAAAGATGCTCATCTAATCCACACTCTTTAAGGTTGACACACTTCCTCCTCACCTCCATCCACTTTCTGTTTCTATTTCACCTGTGTTCAAAACACAGCTTTTCTCTCACCAAATAAGAGCATACAACATAACATAAAAAAAGAAAGAAAAAAAATTAATCTACAGATAAAATTAATTTCTATTATCATGAAAGATCATTTATAAGACTCTCCAATTATATATAATCCCCTTATACAACCTCTCATCTAAATCTTGAAGATTTTATTTTATTTTTTATTTTTTCTAAAAATTCTATAGATCATCCTCTCAGTATAATTCAAATAGAAACTTAATAACACCAAAATATTATACATATTTTTATTTTCTTTCATAAGATATTTATAAAAGAATTAAATTTTAATTACTAAATTATTTTCGATCTTAAGAAAATATTATAATTCTAGTTTAGTTCGATCAAAATATAAAATTATATTTTACTTTTATCCTAAAATAATAAAAAAAATTAAAAATGTTTTTTTTTATATTAATATACGTCTAAGACTAAAACACCTTAAAGTGTGTGTAGTTAGACTCGATCACGTCCGAACAAAAACAGCAAGGCAGTTGACGTGACGGAGTCAGGGGGGAGATAGGAAGGGAGAAACTTTCTTTCTGGTAAGCTTCTTGTCTTTGGTTTCATCTCGTCCACTACCATCAACTCGAGGACCGGGTGACGTGATAAATGGATGGACCCGAGGGCGGCGGAGAAACTCCCTCTTCGTCTCTCCTCTTCCCAGGGACAAGGAGAGAAGCCCACGTTCTCTCGCTCCATTGCGTATTTATAGCTGTCGATGCGAGGTGGTGTTTACTGTCCACTTATTTATTCGTCCCTTCGATTCTATGTGGCTTCCCGTTGAGGTGTTTGAATGCTGCCACCGTATTCCCACCACAGAGGATAGAGGAGAAGCTGAGGGAGATGCACCGCAATGCAGCGTCCTACAATTGCGCCGGCGTCAAGGCGGAGTTGGCCGATGCAAGGATTGTTCATGGCGATTATGAGCCCCCGGCGTGCCCCAGGCCTCGCAGGCCTGAAGCGGCCGCGCCGGAGTTCCTCTTCCCTCTTAGCTGTAAGCACAGGTGCTCCTCCTGCGTCTTCCTCTGTTACTCTTCCTACACCCTATACATGTGTTGGGTGCTTGAAAAGCTTCGTGCTCTTTGTGTTTTAGCCTACAATGCTTCACAGTGCTGCATATATTAAATGCATTCGCGACGTTGTAGATTATTGCTGATAGTGATGATATGGAGTGAATGAAACCAATATACTTCATGCATGCACACCTGCCTTTTGATGATTTGCCTCTGAGAGCAATATATGAACTTTTATACTGTTCTATGACAAAAAAAAAAAAATTGATAGCTTCACATCATCGCAGTAAACACATTCTTAGTCTCAGAATCTTGGCCTCGAAGGAACTTGAAGATCGATAAGCTGATGCAGCATATGCAGTTCTAGTGATTGAATTTACCATTGGGTCTGATACCTTCATACCCCCCTTTGACATTTCCTGTGATTATGTGTTACAAGAACCATATTCCTTCTAGAGTATGCATTTTCTTTCAAAATAGTTATTGCTTCATAAGGATTTCTGAGATTTGTAATGCAAGGAAAGTTGTGCACAAACTCTGACTGTGTTTACCTACCATTTTTCTCGCAAAATTGTTTACCTTCAGAAACTGTGAGAAACCTGTATTTGGTATATGATGTAGTAATGCTCATGTAGAACTGCGTTTCTATATGAACAATGATTGTGATAAATGTTGTTTCATGCTGCTTCACTCATCCAGTCATGCAAGCCATCAGGGGAGCAGCCAAGTCCTGGACATGATATCAAGAAAGGTAGTATTTCTCAAGACAATTTGCATATTTTGCATGTTGTTATCTTTTTACCAAGCTGATTGCAATGTTTGATTTGGTGTAGAATGACGAAGGAAGAGAATCTATCAGCACAGGATGTCCACCTTCTTGCTACTGTGGGTCTCCTCCAAGAAGATTGGATAACCCTTTGATTCATGATGTGCAATTTGTTCAGCAGACAGAGATACTCTCACCATTGACACTGAGTAAGTTGTCTAATAGGTATGGCTTCAGCTCAGCACCTCCAATATGATGTGTTTAAGTAGCACAAGAAATAACTTGGACTTGGAGGAAGAGCCTCCCAAGTCTGCAACATGAAGTCTTTTATTCAAAGAGCAACAGGAAGAGCCTCTCAGAGATCAACCAATCAAATCCTAGGGTTTTAGAAGTGAGACAACCATCATCACAAGTAACTTGCAAATGTATCCTATCTTCTTCTCCTTTAGTTTCCATTTTATAGCTGGGCCAGGATCTCTGTATATGTACATGGCAGGTTCGATAAAGTTTTCATTTTTCATTTTTTTTTTTTTTTACTTTGAAGTTTTTACGGGATCGACGTATTGTATTTATCGAACCTGAAATGCTAACCATTGAATGGATCAAAAAGAATTACATGAATAATGGTCCTTCTTGTAATCAGTCTGCTTAATTACCACAAGATGCATATGGTAATACAAACTTCCAGTGCATAGTAATCCTTCAGACTGTCTATTTCATGTGCAGTATGTTCATGTCACCAAGAATATCTTCTTGTACTGATGAATGAGATGGAAATATTGGATGAATGATAGAGCCATAGCCATCTTGTATTATTTGGACTATTAGATTCCTGCCATGAACCAACCATGTGACTTGCACATAGTTATATTATGATTGAAGCAATCATGTGATTTGCACACACTGAACATTAAAACCTCATGAACTTACTGTTTCTTCTGACTAAAACCATCACTATCATCTGGCCAAAACATAGAACTCATGTGATTGGCAGTCGGCCATATTTCATTAGATTTCGTACGAGCTCTGTTCTTGGGAACTTCAAATTAGATGGGTCACCCATACATATTCCCTTATGATCATGTGATCAAAAGATTCCTGATACACCCATATAATCCCTTGTGAACATTAATGGTCACCATGTGGCAGTGACCATTAATGTTCTGCTTTCTTCTATGATATCTCAGTATATTTGGATGGGATACTATTTTGGCAGATCAATCAGCTGCATTTTGGTTGTTGTTCTTCCCCTCTTCTCCATCGAGTAGAAAGAACCTGAGCAGAGCCAACTAAACAAACACAAACCAGAGCAACACAAAGAAGGGAAAGAGAAAGAAAGAAAGAAAGAAGAAGAAGAGGAGAAGTATATATCGAGAAACAAACCTGATCCGCTCAAGTGTTGCATCACACAGGCCATTGTTCTCTGGTGTTCACTACTGTTCAGTCGCGGTGATTGGTGTCAAACATGTCTCATAAGGAGTTGAGATGCCCCATTTCTTGTCTCCGGGCAACAGTCCTTGTAGACCTCCATCTCCGACCATCTAGCTTAGATTAAGGCGTGTTGTTCGGAGCTCATCTCCTAAAGAAATCAATGCAGGAAGAGAGAGAGATCGAAACGATCCCCCAACCTGCCAAAACTATTGTATAGTAGTTACACTGACCATGTGAGACACATATGTTTGGCCTTCGACGAAAAGAATACTGCCTCAGATCCAAGTTGCAGAATCTTAGAGATGAATGAGAAGTCGGTCGAGAAGCTTAGACTATCGCCACGCATCCGCAAGTTAAGGGCTAAGTGGTTGCAGGCAGCTGCAGCAACATGCATGTTCGAGCTCTGACTCCAAAGCTGCCTCCTTCCCCAGCAACTATTTAACCAGCAGCAAGCAAGCCAGTGTCCTTCACACCGTCGAGCGTGGATCGATCTCTTCTTCCTTGAAGTCTAGTATCTCTTCCTGCCTTGATCGGATAGCTTGGGATGGAGACGTCGGCTTTCTGCGCAGGACTGTTGGTCTTGCTGGTCTCGTCCTTCTTCATGTCCGCCGACGTCGAGGGTTCTGCATCGCCTGGGTGGACTGCAGCTTCCGCGACATTTTATGGAGGGAGTGACGCCTCTGGGACCATGGGTAAGCTTTAAGCATCCTGCTGCTTCGTTGTTTCCTCTGGTTGGATCTCAATGGGTGGTCTGCTTCAGGTGGGGCTTGCGGCTATGGCAATTTATACTCCACCGGCTACGGGACGGACACTGCAGCGCTGAGCACGGCGCTCTTCGACGACGGGGATGCGTGCGGGCAGTGTTACAGGATCATGTGCGACTACCAGACGGATCCCCGGTGGTGTCTGCAAGGCACTTCGGTGACCATCAGCGCCACCAACTTCTGCCCGCCAAACTACGCCCTCCCCAACGACGACGGCGGGTGGTGCAACCCCCCGCGGCAGCACTTCGATATGGCGCAGCCGGCGTGGGAGAAGATCGGCATCTACCGCGGCGGAATCGTCCCGGTGCTGTACCAGAGGTAGTGCAGCAAAAGCCTCATTGCTGCTGCTTCTTGGCGTATCCTTTTTGCTTGTCTATGTTTCGCTGACGGAATGCGGTGATCCGTAGGGTTCCATGCGTGAAGCAGGGAGGAGTGAGGTTCACCATCAACGGGCGCGACTACTTCGAGCTCGTCCTGGTAACAAACGTGGGCGGCGGCGGGTCGATCCAGTCCATGTCCATCAAAGGGTCAAACACCGGGTGGATGGCCATGTCGAGGAACTGGGGAGCAAACTGGCAGTCGAATGCCTATCTAAACAGCCAATCCCTCTCCTTCCGCGTCACCACCGGCGACGGGCAGATCCTCGTCTTCCCGGACGCCGCCCCACCGAACTGGGCCTTCGGCCAAACCTTCACCAGCTCTCTGCAGTTCTCTTAGCTCTCCCGTAAGACCTCCAAAAGGTTTAGGATGCATGTTAGCAGAGGCGTGTTATTACCTTCCTTGCGTTGCCCGCCATCCTGAAGGTTCTGTTTGACTCAACAGTTGCTATGCCCTTCCGATGTATGATAAGGAGTTGGCCACGGGTTAAACCTGTTTGATGAAATGTCAACTTGTACAATTGCTTCACGCGAAGCTAATAAACTCGAGTGTGGTTTAGTAAACAGTACTGATCCAGACATCATTGACAAGAAGAAAAAGGAAGGAAGCTGATGGAGAAGATGAAGTCTCTGTTCCTTTGTTCAGACGAAATAGCAAGTACGATAGGTATCAACAGTGCTGGTTGTTCATAATTTATGGTGGTTGTCTGCCTCAGTCGCTATCTCAATCCCGTGCATTGCTGGTGACCCCTCAACACAAACGATACCAAAGTCGTCGTGTTCTATGGATTTCGTCTCGGAATCGATGTGTTGATAGAGCGAAACATATGTATATATAATTAACGTGTGACGTATGTTGGAATTAGAGACCAGTGGGCCAAGTTGGGCCCACTGGAATTAGAAATAATTACAATTAGGGGGCCAAGTTGAGCCTACTGGAATTAGAAATAATTACAATTAGGGGCCAAGTTGGGCCGCAATGAGGCTCGACGTCATGAGTCATTTCACATCAGCGGGACAGACCGACAGACTGCATAAAGACTTCATTTCTCTTCCCCATAGCTCTCCGCCTCCTGCCATGTTTCAGAGCTTTGGTCATGTGGCCTCCGGAGCAAGACAACCACCATGGAAGCAGTAACAACAGAGCGGCATCCTCCTCCTCTTCCTCGAGAACATCACCTTCCTCCACCACCTCCACCCTCCTCCCGCGAACACCGAAGAGGAGGACCATGGAGGAGGTGTGGAGGGACATCAGCCTCTGCAGCCTCCACCACCAGGAGAGGCAGCTCACACCTATGAACCACCACCAGCGCCACTCCCCCGCCACCTCCCCTTCCTTCCGGGCCACGATGCTCCAGGACTTCCTAGCCGGGCCCTTGAACAGGCCTCACGCCGTCCCCCCGGACGACGTGCCGCGGCCGCGGTCCTCCACCACGCCTCTGACCCAGCTGAGCTTAAGCCCCACCCTGGAGATCCAACCGATGGGGTCCGACGCCCACGCCAACTCCAGCTCCAGCGGTTACAACGCCTCCTTCATCTCCCCTGCTTTCTCCGGCAACATGCGCCGCCCCCCGTCTCCCATCGGCCTCTTCTCCTTCTGCTCCAAGGAGGCCGTGTCGGAGAACCCCTCCGCCAGCTGCGACCGCCGGCACAAGCGCATGATCAAGAACCGGGAGTCTGCCGCCCGTTCCCGCGCCCGGAAACAGGCATTTCCCCCCTCGTCCTTGGATCCGTTTGCTTAAGTTGCTTATCTATGACCCACGAGATATCCACCTCGGTGGCAGGCTTACATGAACGAGCTGGAGCTGGAGGTGGCTCATCTGTTGGAGGAGAACTCCAGGCTAAGGAAAGAGCTCGAAGAGGTGACACACACACACACACACATATGTAGTTGTCATTTCTGTGCGGGAAGAATGTCATGGTCAATGTTCTCTTTCATTGGTTGGTATTGTGGGCAGCTACGTTCGGCAATGGCCGCCAAGCATCCCAAAAGGAAGGCACTGCAGAGGAGCTCAACCGCACCATTTTGAGGAAGCAGCACAGGATGCATGGCAGTGCATGTGGGCTGTCTACAGTAAGTATGTATGTATGTACGTACGTATGTATGTATGCCTTTGTGATCCTCTCCTCCCTATATATCCACCTTGCCCCCTTCTTCTGCAACAAGGTCGAATGATTTGTATGATATATAGATAGGCTACGGAATTTTGTGCAGAAATGGTATACATGATACATATACCTGTTCAAGGGAAGTCACCCCCCTACTCGCCATGTTGCTCTCTCTCTATGTATATCTATCTATATAAGGATGTTAACCATGATTGAGGCCTCAAGGAGAGAGACGATGAGCCATGGATGGCACCAGTCTAGGGTTTGGGGAAGCTGCTCCGGTTTAGGAGTGAGGACTGTACGTTGCCTGGAAAAGCCATGACAAGCCATGGAGTGATGGGACGTCACGTCCCTTCCTCCATTGGCTTCGTGGGACTGTTAAAAGGCCATCATCAACTCACAGGTCCCTATTGTCCTCTCTCTTTCTCTCTCTCTCACAGTGTGTGTACAGTTTCCACCTCCCCAACACAGGTAAAACAATAGCTTTCCTTCACATTCACATGAGGCCTCATCATGGTTGGCACAACACTTATGTATGAAAGTTTTATGATGGTTGCGAGTTTAGCTCAAAAATATTATACAACATTTTTGTTTGGTTGCATCTTTTGGTGTGGTGGTAATGTTGATTGCTTCAGTGGAGTCGCTTTGGAGTGACAATTGAGAAAGAGTAAGATGGAAAGTTGCATCACTCCTTCAATATAATAACGAAGGAAAAAAGGGCAAGTCTCAATCTTCACTCACTCAATATGAGAGGTGGCATTATTCTGTCTTGGGACATTCTACATCTTACTTACTCATCACTTGCTTATCCAACCTTATCTAGTTAGGTTTGTTTTCATTATGATGGGTTCCAAATGCTAGTCTTTCTAGTAACTGTGATCTCACTAAATTTACTTAAATTGTTCAAACAAACAATTCTTTTTCGATGAAATAACTAAAATGATATAATTTTTTTTTCACCGGATTCAGTTTTAAGTCGATTAGACTAGTTGATATTGACATCTTTTATATTTTTATATTTTACACTTTGTAATTTTACTTGTGGAGATGATTTTATCTGTAGTACTATCGATCATCAAAATGTGGATAAGATTAAGATTGACTTATAAGAATTTGATTGGTATACTATTATTAATTTTAGTTGAAATATTTTGATCAATAACTTAGATCAAATGAAGTTGATAGATTAATTAATCTATCAAACCCGTCTCGCCTCGCCTCGCCTTGGCTCGGTAGAAGTAAAGTATGAGTGAGCAAATTAAACTGAACATTGCTCTCAATTAGAGAACTTGGATGGGTCAGTCCAATGCGGCTGATGAGATATTTAATATTGTAATTGTGCTGCTGAAATGAGTCCATCAGAAGAGGCTCTACGGGAAGAACAAGAGAGCTTTTAATGCTTTCTTTATGGCTGCAACAGCATAAAGATATACTCTATCCACTGATTCGGTTTACTTTGTGTCATACTAACATTCTATGAAGCTTCTTTCCTGTTTTTTTGATATCGATCGCTCTCCGATCCATTGGATTACGTTCGCATTGCGAATTACAAATACTTTTGGGTATAAAATTAGGACAAGAAAATCGTAGGGAGATTATGTTATCACAATAGTAAAGAAACTCCAAATTAGTTATTATGTGAGAAAATTAAATATGATGCCAATAATAAATCACTGAATATACGATAATCATAAAGAATACTTAAAAATATTTGAACATCAATAATTAAAAATAATAATATATGAAAGAATAATACAAAATAGAGAGAGGAAAGCAACTCAGTTAGGGATAAGGGAGTGAAGTTGAAATTGCATCATCGAGAGCGATGTCAATAGGATACGACATTCTCAAAACACTATGAAGCGAGAGCGATGTCAATAGGATATGACATTCTCAAAATACTATGAAGGGAGATCGGTGTTAATAGGATATTCATATGTGAAAAGATGAAAAAAAAAAGAGTATGGAATACTTCTATTTTACTAATGATTGAAAGTTTTGATCCACGATTTAGTAATCTTAAACTCTTGACTTAAATTTTTATTTAATTTCATATAAGTAAGCCTTGATCGATTTGATTCATAAAATTTCAATATGATATTAAAGTAAGGGTTCATAAAAAAAAAAAACATAAGTGAGGCAAAACAAAATTAAAAGAAAAGAACTATAGTGTATGTGATGATTTAATGATTTAACCTTGTTTTCAACAACAAATACAATCATTTACTTGAAAATTGCTTATATTCATCATTTTGAACTTGCACAAGTTGGATATACTGAATTTTAACAGAAAATATTATTGATGAAGTTAATATAGTTGATGAAATCTATGTCTAAAAGTCCCAACCTGATTCCTTTATCCTGCCTTGTAACTACAAGTATGTCATCTTCCTCTCCAGCCCCTATTACTCTCCCCTCGCAGTGCACTGAGTGCGCACACAGCCACAGTAACGTGAACAACCACTACAGTGGAGAGAAGGGGTAGGAAACTAAGAAGAAGCTGTTGGTCATGAATGCTGTGTTCTTCCTCCAACCACCTCTCTTTCTTCCACTCTTTTGTCAACATCAGCTGAAATCCATGAGCAAGAAAAAGAACCCTTTTTCTTCGATCCATCGTTCTTCAAGTACCCATGAAAACATCGAAGCTTAATCTCTGTTTGTATTCCCTGCCAAACTCCTTTTCCTAAAGCTTGAGAGGAGTTAAAGCTATTTATCATCATATAAGGATTCCTAAACTGATTCATTATTATACATTTTCTGGGTTCTTATACTGACATTAACAACAAATATGTTATCAACAGCATATTAGTAGCTCTGAGTGATTTGGAGTAGTTGCACACATCAAATTGACAGCAGAATAACCTACTTTGAGATGCTTCTGCACAAATGTTGCTAAAAGATGAAGCTATCAAAGTCTAGAAAATCTTGCCAGTGAGATACAGATTAAAGGTACAACAATTACCACATAGAACTTCTGGTCAAACAGTTTAGATAGACCATAGAAGCCCCCCTGCCTTTACACAAGCATCATAAAGAGTGAAGAACACCTTAAGTAGTCATGCAGTACTGACAGAATCATAGCACCAAAGAGATCCAAATGACAATTTAACAAATCACCTGATAGGTTCATATAGCTCACTAGGGCGATCAGCAAACTGTACAACACGAGCTAATTCCTTTGACAAAGCAATGCGATACGACAATGATAGCTGGTGGTTCCTCGTTCATCTCCTCTTGCTTATTCCCTTCACAAAATGGAACAGGTGTTCTGTGTCTTTCTCTTCTTCTTCCTCCTTTGCTTTGGTGGCTGAAGTACAACTTTAATGGCTGTATCAAAAACAGCTTTGACATTCTGCATACCAAAATGCTTTCACATGAGTAAATAACATCAGACATTTTACATCCTAGTGGTTAGTGTATTGTCACACAGGTAATGGGTCTCAAGTTTGAGCTAATGTACGAACGTTTGAACGTTTTATATATTGTTTAATGTAACGGAAATGTCTTCCTTAAAAAAAAGAGTAATGCATGTAACTCAGAAATTGCCACAATTGAAAATGAACATACTTGCTGCGTCTTTGAACTACACTCGATGTAAGCAGCAGCTCCGATTAGCTTCCTCAGTTCTTCCCCCTTGAGACACATAAACAAAACAATCTAATAAGCAGTACTTATGAAGAAGTCATATCTGAGACACATAAACAAAACAATCTAATACGCAACATAGAAAAAGGATGACTTATACAGAAGTCGTATCTGGGACAAGAATCCAGCTGTGCATTTATTGCAAATTACTAACCTGAGCAGTGGAGATTGGCATAGCACCGGGGTGATCAATAAAAAACTGCTTGTCATCCCGAAGATCTGTGTACAATGCTTCAGCTATTTAGAAAATGTCGAATTGTGACAAATATTTAAGAATACACTAGATTCTACCAGATTTACAACGAGCGAGAATTAACTATGAATCAGAAACAATCTTTTCCTGTTAGCATTACATATTCTACAGACGAGACAAGATCATCATCGATACCAGATTCACAAAGAGAGAGAATAACCATGAATCAGAAACAATCTTTTCCACTTAGCATTACATATTCTACAGATGAGACAAGAACATCGTCAATATGTCAGATAACAGCACAAGATATGAGCCAAATAAGGATTTTTTGAGGATCCACTTCCTATCTCGTCCATCATACCGTTTAGCTAGGAAACTTTTGTCTGGTAAGGAAAAGAATCAGAGGGCTGTTGATTGCCCAAGATCTAGAGGATCAACAAATGGATCGTAGACTTCATATGCTTAGTTGTATTAGGCATGAAAATAAGATCCATGTACATTGCCAAATTGGAAAACAAATTAGATGTTTTGGGACAGAAGTAGGCTCTCTAGTGTTATCACCTTTGAAACATGTATGCAAACTGATATGACATGATACAGACATACAGGCACATCAGATCTAAAGAGTACAATACATAACCACATGACTAGATAATTAAACATATATATATATATATATATAATATAATTATAATAACTAGTTACAGAAAGATACTGAAAGCTACCCCAGTTCGCGTTAAAGAGAGACTATTTAAGGAATCAGGAAAAGAACTTACCAAGTTTTGTTCCAACGAGAATTATAGGAACCCCTGGGGCATAATGCCTCAATTCAGGAATCCACTAAAAAAGAACAACAAAAGCAAATAGTACATGATCAGGACAAATATTGAGATAGGAATCACGACTGTATGAGATGAAATAAAAGCTTCAGAACCTTCTTAGCAACATTTTCGTAGCTGGCCTTACTAATCAGGGAGAAGGCAAGAAGAAAAACGTCAGCTCCACGATAGCTCAAAGGTCTTAGTCTATTATAATCTTCCTGGCCTGCTCCATTAGAACATCATACATGATTGTGGATGAAAGCATATAGGAAGTATGGGAAAGATATATAAACACAAAGCAGTTGAATATCAATGGAAGGGTTGCACTTACCTGCTGTATCCCATAGACCTAGGTTAACAGTGCTACCATCTACCACGACATTTGCACTGAAATTGTCGAAAACAGTAGGCACATAGTCCTGTCTCATACATATGAGTAATCAGTATTCTTATGAAAAATGACATGAAACCAAAATTCCAAGAGAGAGATTGCTGGTCAAGTAAAAACGATCATGGCTTTGGAAAGGCATCAAATTGCCAGTAACATAGAAGATAATTTCGCACACAAAAAGAAGACAAAATCTCAGCCAAACATGGCACTGCAAGAAATGAAGTATCTATCACATTTTCAGCACACAAGATAACACCGCATATTTCTCTTAACTGCAGCAAGTGACTTTTCCAACTATCAACAGAAAAAAAAAAACCCATAATATTTCCAACACAAAGCAAACTGCAGTTCACAACTCCATTCTGCATGTGTCTCCCTAACTTGTGGAAACATCATATACCTAAAACAATATAATACAACAGGTAGAAAAACTAAAAACCCAAGTAAAACCAAGTTATCATTCATCATTTAATCTATTAAAGCCTTTT